GTGCGCCGTCGCTCACTACTGAAAGCGGCAGCAGTGCCGGCGGCGGCCTGTTGTGTTCAACAACATTACCAGCGGCTGCGGCATTGGCAAGCACCAGTGCAGCTGCGGCGAATGGCGAGGCCCTGGTGCTTGGTGCGCCGTCGCTCACTACTGAAAGCGGCAGCAGTGCCGGCGGCGGTCTGTTGTGTTCAACAACATCACCAGCGGCTGCGGCATTGGCAAGCACCAGTGCAGCTGCGGCGAATGGCGAGGCCCCGGTGCTTGGTGCGCCGTCGCTCACTACTGAAAGCGGCAGCAGTGCCGGCGGCGGCCTGTTGTGTTCAACAACATTACCAGCGGCTGCGGCATTGGCAAGCACCAGTGCAGCTGCGGCGAATGGCGAGGCCCCGGTGCTTGGTGCGCCGTCGCTCACTACTGAAAGCGGCAGCAGTGCCGGCGGCGGCCTGTTGTGTTCAACAACATCACCAGCGGCTGCGGCATTGGCAAGCACCAGTGCAGCTGCGGCGAATGGCGAGGCCCCGGTGCTTGGTGCCAGCGGTGCTGTACCCAACCACAAGGCCACGGCGTGCGGTGCGACATCTTTCAACTTTGCAAGCGGCAGCAGTGCCGCTGGCGGCCCTTTTGGATCGACGACGTCAGAAGCGCCTGCGGCAAATACCAGCGGTGCTGTAGCCAACAACATAGCCACGGCGTTCGGTGCGCCATCGCTCCCTTCTGCAAGCGGCAGCAGTACCGGCGGCGGCCCGTTTGGATCGACGACGTCAGCAGCGCCTGCGGCAAATACCAGCGGTGCTGTAGCCAACAACAAGGCCACGGCGTTCGGTGCGCCATCTTTCAACTTTGCAAGCGGCAGCAGTGCCGCTGGCGGCCTGTTTGGATCGACGACGTCAGCAGCGCCTGCGGCAAATACCAGCGGTGCTGTACCCAACAACATAGCCACGGCGTTCGGTGCGCCATCTTTCCCTTTGCAAGCGGCAGCAGTACCGCTGGCGGCCTGTTTGGATCGACGACGTCAGCAGCGCCTGCGGCAAATACCAGCGGTGCTGTACCCAACAACAAGGCCACGGCGTTCGGTGCGCCATCTTTCAACTTTGCAAGCGGCAGCAGTGCCGCTGGCGGCCTGTTTGGATCGACGACGTCAGCAGCGCCTGCGGCAAATACCAGCGGTGCTGTACCCAACAACAAGGCCACGGCGTTCGGTGCGCCATCTTTCACCTTTGCAAGCGGCAACAATACCGGCGGCGGCCCGTTTGGATCGACGACATCAGCAGCGCCTGCGGCAAATACCAGCGGTGCTGTAGCCAACAACAAGGCCACGGCGTTCGGTGCGCCATCTTTCAACTTTGCAAGCGGCAGCAGTGCCGCTGGCGGCCTGTTTGGATCGACGACGTCAGCAGCGCCTGCGGCAAATACCAGCGGTGCTGTAGCCAACAACATAGCCACGGCGTTCGGTGCGCCATCGCTCCCTTCTGCAAGCGGCAGCAGTGCCGCTGGCGGCCTGTTTGGATCGACGACGTCAGCAGCGCCTGCGGCAAATACCAGCGGTGCTGTACCCAACAACAAGGCCACGGCGTTCGGTGCGCCATCTTTCAACTTTGCAAGCGGCAGCAGTGCCGCTGGCGGCCTGTTTGGATCGACGACGTCAGCAGCGCCTGCGGCAAATACCAGCGGTGCTGTACACAACAACAAGGCCACGGCGTTCGGTGCGCCATCTTTCACCTTTGCAAGCGGCAACAATACCGGCGGCGGCCCATTTGGATCGACGACATCAGCAGCGCCTGCGGCAAATACCAGCGGTGCTGTAGCCAACAACAAGGCCACGGCGTTCGGTGCGCCATCTTTCAACTTTGCAAGCGGCAGCAGTGCCGCTGGAGGCCTGTTTGGATCGTCGATGTCAGCAGCGCCTGCGGCAAATACCAGCGGTGCTGTAGCCAACAACATAGCCACGGCGTTCGGTGCGCCATCGCTCCCTTCTGCAAGCGGCAGCAGTGCCGCTGGCGGCCTGTTTGGATCGACGACGTCAGCAGCGCCTGCGGCAAATACCAGCGGTGCTGTAGCCAACAACATAGCCACGGCGTTCGGTGCGCCATCGCTCCCTTTTGCAAGCGGCAGCAGTGCCGCTGGCGGCCTGTTTGGATCGACGACGTCAGCAGCGCCTGCGGCAAATACCAGCGGTGCTGTACCCAACAACAAGGCCACGGCGTTCGGTGCGCCATCTTTCAACTTTGCAAGCGGCAGCAGTGCCGCTGGCGGCCTGTTTGGATCGACGACGTCAGCAGCGGCTTCGGCAAATACCAGCGGTGCTGTACCCAACAACAAGGCCACGACGTTCGGTGCGCTATCTTTCAACTTTGCAAGCGGCAGCAGTGCCGCTGGCGGCCTGTTTGGATCGTCAATGTCAGCAGCGCCTGCGGCAAATACCAGCGGTGCTGTAGCCAACAACATAGCCACGGCGTTCGGTGCGCCATCTTTCAACTTTGCAAGCGGCAGCAGTGCCGCTGGCGGCCTGTTTGGATCGACGACGTCAGCAGCGGCTTCGGCAAATACCAGCGGTGCTGTAGCCAACAACATAGCCACGGCGTTCGGTGCGCCATCGCTCCCTTTTGCAAGCGGCAGCAGTGCCGCTGGCGGCCTGTTTGGATCGACGACGTCAGCAGCGCCTGCGGCAAATACCAGCGGTGCTGTAGCCAACAACATAGCCACGGCGTTCGGTGCGCCATCGCTCCCTTTTGCAAGCGGCAGCAGTGCCGCTGGCGGCCTGTTTGGATCGACGACGTCAGCAGCGCCTGCGGCAAATACCAGCGGTGCTGTAGCCAACAACATAGCCACGGCGTTCGGTGCGCCATCGCTCCCTTTTGCAAGCGGCAGCAGTGCCGCTGGCGGCCTGTTTGGATCGACGACGTCAGCAGCGCCTGCGGCAAATACCAGCGGTGCTGTAGCCAACAACATAGCCACGGCGTTCGGTGCGCCATCGCTCCCTTTGCAAGCGGCAGCAGTGCCGCTGGCGGCCTGTTTGGATCGACGACGTCAGCAGCGCCTGCGGCAAATACCAGCGGTGCTGTAGCCAACAACATAGCCACGGCGTTCGGTGCGCCATCGCTCCCTTTTGCAAGCGGCAGCAGTGCCGCTGGCGGCCTTTTGGATCGACGACGTCAGCAGCGCCTGCTGCAAATACCAGCGGTGCTGTAGCCAACAACATAGCCACGGCGTTCGGTGCGCCATCGCTCCCTTCTGCAAGCGGCAGCAGTGCCGCTGGCGGCATGTTTGGATCGACGACGTCAGCAGCGCCTGCGGCAAATACCAGCGGTGCTGTACCCAACAACAAGGCCACGGCGTTCGGTGCGCCATCTTTCAACTTTGCAAGCGGCAGCAGTGCCGCTGGCGGCCTGTTTGGATCGTCAATGTCAGCAGCGCCTGCGGCAAATACCAGCGGTGCTGTAGCCAACAACATAGCCACGGCGTTCGGTGCGCCATCTTTCAACTTTGCAAGCGGCAGCAGTGCCGCTGGCGGCCTGTTTGGATCGACGACGTCAGCAGCGCCTGCGGCAAATACCAGCGGTGCTGTAGCCAACAACATAGCCACGGCGTTCGGTGCGCCATCGCTCCCTTCTGCAAGCGGCAGCAGTGCCGCTGGCGGCATGTTTGGATCGACGACGTCAGCAGCGCATGCGGCAAATACCAGCGGTGCTGTACCCAACAACAAGGCCACGGCGTTCGGTGCGCCATCTTTCAACTTTGCAAGCGGCAGCAGTGCCGCTGGGGGCCCTTTTGGATCGACGACGTCAGCAGCGCCTGCGGCAAATACCAGCGGTGCTGTAGCCAACTACAAGGCCACGGCGTTCGGTGCGCCATCGCTCCCTTTTGCAAGCGGCAGCAGTGCCGCTGGCGGCCTGTTTGGATCGACGACGTCAGCAGCGCCTGCGGCAAATACCAGCGGTGCTGTACTCAACAACAAGGCCACGGCGTTCGGTGCGCCATCTTTCAACTTTGCAAGCGGCAGCAGTACCGGCGGCGACCTTTTGGGTTTAACAATAGCAGCAGTGGATGCGGCATCGGCAAGCACCAGCGCAGCTGCAGCCAATGGCGAGGCCCCGGTGTTCGGTGCAGCTTCGTTCAGGTTTGCAAGCGGCAGCAGTACCGGCGGCGTCCTGTGTGCGAGGACATTAGCAGCTGCTTCGGCAAGCAGCTGCTGATTACAGTCAGGTAATTGTTGAATACAACAAAGTAATTTGTGCGACAGGGATGTTGCAGCTCTGATGCAGGACGTTTTGCTTGCTCTTTGTCATCCAGGGCTTTGTTCTGTGTAGATGCACATCCTCGTGGTTTCGTGCACCACGACTGAGGTAGTTAGGTCGCTACTAAGACTATATCGGCATACTTTGACTGTTTGTCATGAGTCGTACTATGCTACACTAGCTACAAGCTTGCGTTTCTGCGTGACGAAGCGGGAGGTTTCCGGCTTTGCTGTCCTTGCGTCCTATTCTGCGGTACGACTCCGCTGGTTCCTCGAAGTCAGGGGCCACCTACTGAGTTCTGCGGAAGGTATGCAGTCGGAAGGTATTTGGATTCGGGAAGGCGAGGTTCTTAGGTTTTGGCCGTGGATGGTGTGGGTCCAAAATCGTCTTGTTGGTCGATTAGGGCGTCATAGGGTGTTTTTAGAGGTGTAATTAGGAGTGCGCGCTAGACTCGTGCAGTATGCATTATGAACATCCCTGGATTGGAAATCGGCGGCCCCGGTCACACGCTTGTTGCACTTGTAGCCACAATTGAGACGCTAACTGTCAAGGAAACGTTTTCAGAGCTTGTTTTGATGATGCTTCCCATCCTAAGTCGGCATCGTCCACCGTTGACTTATGGCTTGGCTTGTCACTATTCAGTTATTATTTTAACTGTTCATGATTGCTGTTGACGTGCGCTGTGTGATCTGTTTACCTACAGCGACCTCGACCAACTGTTTCTGGATTATATGGTGTAGATTTTTACGTGTATGCTGCGCCGCGGCAAAGGCGTCGAATGATGCCAGGCTGTTTTCCCGATGGCTGTTGTTAATGGTTATGTGCGTCATGTACACCTTCTGGAGTTGCTTACGGTTTTAGGGTTCTCTCCAATGTGTTTTAGGGGGCCCCATACGAGCCTAGAGCACAAGGCCCAGCCGAAGCTTGTCTGGAATAGATAGATATCGTTAAACGCATATCTATCTGTCGTTTAAACGCATAAAACTATTAGCCTATCGCTCAAAAAGAGAAATCATGTCGAACCAACCGAATTATTCAGACAGTTATGCCCTAGCTATGCGCCTGCTATATGAGACCCACCTTAGCTTTCAGCTGGTCATCCGCTACCATCACATCCGTCATAGTCTGATCCACTTGAAACCCGACAGAAAGTGTGCATGAGATTGTATGCAGGGCAGTCAAAACGTTCCAGGATTGGAGCTCGCAAAACTTGCAGATCCTGTGCTGGCGCGCGAGCACCCAAGCAATATAGACAAAAATTCATTAGCAACTGATGCATATTGACAGGAATAATCATATTGGCATGCGGCAACCAGCTTGCCCCAGCTGCTTTCTCAAACGACAATAATAACCATTTCGATAGTTGCTTCCCATCCGAAGCGAAATCTCATGCAGACGTGGTTCCATTACGACATGATCTGGTGACGGAGCTCAGAAAGGAATGGCCTCTGATACACACCAGCACCCCTACAAATGTTGTAATGCAATCAGCCCACTTCAAATTTCTGATTGTTCTCCCCTTTGACGTCGTCCTACTGCAGGCCCCAAACCAGTATGGCACTTGTGGCGTCGCTGTGTGTTGAGGCAGCAATCAATACAGTACATAATGGCACCATGAGTCAACCAAGTATCCTGTAGCTATTAAAATGTTATGAGCCAGTTTTATTATGGTGGTCAGTTGAATGATTTTACAGTTGTTCCAAACTTTGGCTACTTGCCAAGGCCAACCGGAGGGTTGCCGTCGTTATATCTGAAAGGTAAAGTCTCCGTCGTCACGTCCCCATTACATGCATGACATCAAAACTTCGAGCTCCCAGCGTCAGCGATATAGCACTTACCCTCAAATCGACCTATTCACCACATAACTATCCCAACAACACCGTCACGTCCTCTCCACATGAAAACTTCCACGCACTACCACAGCAAATAACTCACTAAGCCCTGCGTCAACTAGACTGCCTAAACATTATGACGCACAAAACACGCTAACCACGCAAACTAACGACCAATACGACACGTTTTAGGCTCTACCTTGCACACGCTTAATGAGCGCTCATGATCATATTTTCCATCGCGCATAACCCTGGCCGAATATGCCAGCTCTGCAGAGCCGACTGAGGCGCCGCCGCCCTTTCAACCTCGGCAACAGATGTCATGGATGCAGGGCTATGCGCCACCCCAAATGGGGTCTTGAGAACAGGCAGCTAAAATGGAGGATACTGTAAAGCAATCGACGAAGTTGATGAGATACAACACTGACAACGGGAGCCTTTAAGAGACATAGATCACCACACATTTACACGCAAAAAATGTGTGCCGGACGGCCCTCCCATTCACGCCAAAACTGGCAATGCTCGTACACGCCAAGTTCAAACGGGCCCGGCCAGGTCGCAATCCACTTCATCAGTGGACGCGCCGCCGTTCTACTCTTGTACAGGAGGAGCGGGGTTTTCGCGGCCTTGGGACGTGGGGGCTAACCTGTGCACTCGGGCGGCCGGAGTCAAGGAAACAGCCAACCAACCCGCTGCACGGCGCAGAAGGACGCCGTCGATTATACGCTCTACGTGCGAGAGCGACCCCTTCCTGGTCCCCCACACATCGCCATAGAACGCCGACGCCTGCGGAATGACACGCGCATACACGACTTGTCAAAAGTTTTAACACCGTGCCAGGGTAGGTACGTATGAATCAGGAACACGCACACCAGTCTTCGCCGTACATAGGGGGAATCAATTCTGTTGGGCATTATACACATCACCATGTAGCCGCCATGGGGCGGCAGCGCGGCTGCTCTGTACTATTTTCGCCGTTTTGTCCGACCGATTTGAGGTTGTTGAAAAGTTTTGGCACCGAAAACACCACGAACAACACAATACCACCACTCGTACTTGACCAGAGAAAGCACACGCCTGCCTACGACTGCTGAAGAAAATATAATCTGTACAGGCGACCTGCCGAGGTAAGCCAACCGGCAGGCAAACGACCCCTCCATCTCTACACCGCTACGACACCTGAGGCGGCGCGGCCGCCGACGGACTTGTCCTAGGAATATATTCTAAGCTGCATCCAACGGCTCTGCGCCGCCCGTTCAGCAGCCATCGGGCCCCTGCCGCTAGGCCGCCCTGCATGCCGCGCTCAAGTCTCGTAAGCAGTACCACTACCCGCTGAGCTGCCCCTTGGCCATGCCCTAAGCTAAAGCCTGCATTCCCCGCGCCGCCGTTTGCGGCCAGAGCCGAGCCGCGAGGTATATAGTAACCACAGCACATGCGTCCGCATGCAGGAAGCAGGCGTGCGTCGGACACAGGCAGTTGCAAGGGCAGCAGACAGCTAGGGTCGTCACCCCGTTGGAAGCCGCCACCACATTAAGTAATCTAACGATCGATATAGTGGAAGTGCCTAACCCGCCGTACATGTCCGCCTGCACCGCAACATCGACCCAACCTGCACTCGTGATCTGATGGACCAAGCGACAAGCGCAGGGGCCAAAGCCATGTCAGTGCCCCCCAAACCAACCAAACCAAACCAAACCTAGACTGTACTGTACGTGTCATTTAAAAACGAGCCCGTGGATAGCCGGTTTCTTCGCGTGTCAGAGTGACACATACATCCTTCTCCACACAACCCCTAACTAGATGTCAACGCAGGCGATAGAATCGTAATAAAAGAGACATACAGAGGAGGTGCGCCCAAAAGGGAAAGTGGCAAAGCTGATCTTACTGCATATGTGCACCCGCGTATGCATCCATTAACTAATTCGTATGGGAAGAGGAGCACAAACCCATTATTGCTGTGGCGGACTCACCACTGCAGAGCAGCATACGCGGTGCGGCGAGCAAACTCCGACAACCAACAAAGCAGCACCTGCTGAACGCTCGTTCGTACAGGCGCACTCATTTCCCAACAACACACGTACGCACTGCACCGTGCCAGGGTTTCATGCATGAAAAACAAAGACCCTCATGTCGCCATCCACGCTCGCGTCCCTACCCCCTACCATTAAGGTACGTATCATCATCATCATTTCAAAGTCTCTCTAAAAGCCTGAAGATGTAAAGACAAACGAACTTTAGCTATGGCCCTGTTTTGAGCCTACATTGACCTCTCAGCATTGTTGGACGCAAGTTCCAAACGATGTCAAGCCCCCGGGGCGACTCGAAACAAGACATGAAACAAACCCAAACGACTTATCTCGCCACACCACACAAGCGCACACCAGTCTGGCAATGCAGTAGGTAATATGCCCGTTCCCCGGCTGCGGCCAACATTCCGGGACTATGTGCCCCTTTTGCGATCGGGCGCCCCAGAACGACCGCGGGCCGCAGCCCAGGGAAACGACGCCCCATGCCATGCTTGCCTGGGGAAGCCTGCCCATGAAGCTTGACATCACACTTCTCGACCATGAGAATGCAAAACTTTTTGCCTGCAGCTGCGAGCATCCAGTTCAGTCTTAGAAAGACGCCCTCCCACGCACTTTCAATCTCCAGCACCAGGGGTAAGGACGCGCCCCACGGGGCAGCGGTGCTGGGACAAATACTGGGCCAGCCATCCCCACAGCACTGCAGAATTAAGCCCGCCCCTGCGCCGCGCGCGCCCGCCAAGCGTTCCCACCCCTGGAAAGCATTATACGAAAGGCCAAGGTAGCCCACGGAACACAAGCTCGGACCGGCCTAGATGACCCGCATTGCTAACATGCCGGCGTCGTTGCCGCCAATGATGTGAAAACGGTATCCCAAATCAGTGGACGCTACTGGGTGCCAAGATGCTGACATGAGCCAGGCAGCCCACATGCAACATCTGAAGCTGAATCCAGAGACGAGCCACAAGAGGTCCAAAAAACATGATAGAAGAGAGAAAGTTGCTCATTCTAAGATATCATCAAGGCACGCCACCATGACATTGCACAAACCGTCCGATTATGCACGCTGCATGCAAGATGGCACACGGTACAGCCTTGCGGCGGGGTACGCAGCCGCTATGGCAGCTGGCACCCCGCGCGCCCCTGCGTACCACTTGCAACACTTACTCGTCCCCGCTCCACCCTCACATTGCCTATGACATCGCTGGCGTCTGGTACATCCCAACTTTTGTGCCACAACACATCAAAACCGCACAGGCTGATGTCACTGTACGTTGGATCAGCTCAGCAACACGTTAGGCTTCCAGCAGCAAAAACATAGACCCTGACTCGCCACTACAGCGCCTCCCTCCGCAACCCGCGCATCATCAACCTTAAACTGCAAACTGCACACATGAGCACGCGCAGCGCCCCAAGCAAACATAGGCAAATACAAACTGCATGTCATCCGTACAAACCCCTAAAATTGTTGATAAACACATCATCTCGAAGCTCGCCGGTGTCAAACAAGACACACGAAATGACGTTAAAAATTAAAAGAAGCCAGATCCAAGATCCAGATTAGCGAGGCGAGCTGCAATTTCGTCATTAGAAATGGGGCCATCCTCGGCACCCTCACCAGCCCACATCGCCTGGTTAGCTGACGCCGCAGCCCTTAGCCAGGCGGCCTGGTCGGGGTCGAGTTCACCCAGGAGTGGGGATGGGCCGCCAAGCCCAATGCCACCCGGTTCACCATCTCCCTCCGCGTCCAGTGCTGCGACCGCACCAGACTCTAATTCGCCGTCGGCTGCGCCGCCGGTCTCCAGCTCGCCAAGAAGCTCGCCCATGGCAGGCCCCTCTGTGGTACCGAAGAATCCATACGAGAAAGCATCGAAGGACTCCTTGGCTAGGGCCGCAACAGCTGCGGCCGCATCGGCCGCAAGCTCAGCGGATGCACCACCCTCTGAGCGTGTCTCGTGGCCGCCACCATCCACATCTGAGCCGGGGCCCGTAATCTGGATGCGGTTATTGGTGGGGCTGCCCTGGCTGGCCGTGCGAGGTGGCGAGACGGGCGCAGAGGAATGGCCTGGGATAGAGATGGGGCCCAAGCGGCTAGCACCACCGGCCGCAGCAACAGTAGCTGCCGCAAGCGCGACAGCATCCTTCGACTCACCGACCGCAGGGCTGCCCGGGGCGGACGGTGAATGCGCGTAGGGAAGTGGTGGCTGGTGCATGCCATTGGGCGCCATGCCGTGATGTCCAACCATGCCCGGCGGGGCGCCCATACTGCCCATGGAGATACCATGCAAGCCAAGATCGACATGGCCCATCAGATGCCCTGGAAGGCCGGGCATCCCACTGGTAGCTACGCCGTGACCACTGCCAGGACCACCAGGCAGGCCCGGGGAAACACCCTGCTGTGGTGGGGCGCCCGACTGCTGGGGTGTGCCGCCGGCCGCAGCACCACCACCGGATGATGAACCAGTCACCGCACCAGGTACGCCTTCACTCTGCATGCGCTGCCGCTCTGCATTGTAACACTCAACAATGAACTTTACGTCCGTGACGCTCATGCCGCCCATAATTCCTGATTGAATAGCCTGTTCAACCGTCATGCCACCGCGCGCCAGCTGCAGTGCAACGCACGCCAGCGCCAGGCGGCGCTGCTCCTTGCTACTGTTCGACGATGACGACGCGTCACCGCCGGACGTGGCAACCTTGTCCACGGCTGGCATGGAAAGACCAGTGACGGCGGCAGCGGCTGAGTCTTGCATCGCCTTGGCCAGCTGCAGCTTCTGCAGGTTCTGAAGCATCGCCTCATTCAGCACACCAGCATTGGCACCGCCAATACTGGCCAGCGCAGCTGCTGTATTACCCGGCATCACGGACCGCTGACCGTTCGCTACAGCGTTCGCGGCGGCAGCCTGCTGTAGGGCCGCTAGCTGTCCATTAAGCGCCGCTGCCGCGTTGTTCTGGATGTTCGCGGCAAGGTTGTTGGCCATAGCCGCAGTCACCTGCGCCTGCTGCACCTGCGCAACGTTGCGCTGTTGCTGGAGTAAGAGCTGTATATTAATGGCTTGCTGCAGCGGGTTCAAGGCAGGTGTTGACGCTGTGCCGTTAGAAGCAGGAGGAACCGCAGCGCGGGGAGTTCCAGCACCGAGTACATTGGCAGCATTCAGTGCAGCACGTCCCGCCGCGCTGCGAGCGAGTGCGGTGCGCAGAATCTGTATTTGCGCTTCGGTAGGCTTCACAGGAGCGGCTGGCGTGGCTGCTGCTGCAAGTGCATTTGGTGCCTGTGCGGCGTTAAGGCGTGCCTGCAGCTGGCGCAGTGCCTGCAGCTGCTGAGCCGCTGCGACAGAACTCGGCTGCGCAGGTGCAAGCGGTCGGGCGGCCGCAGCAGCCGCAGCCTGCTGCTGCGCAGCGAGCTGCTGCACCTGTAGAGCTGCGCGCGCCTGCTGGGCCTGCAGAGCTGCTGCGAGGAGAGCGGGGTTGTTCTGTGCAGCGGCGAGATTCTGCTGGGCAAGGTTGTGTTGTGCAATGGCAGCGTTCTGCAATGCCTGATTCTGTGCCCATGCCATAGCCTGGGGGCGCTGCAATCCCGCCGCCTGGGCTGCCTGCTGGAGCTGCAGAAGGTTAGCGTTACCAACAGCGGCTGCCCGCGCCTGTGCAGCCTGCGTGCTGGCAGCCACCGCGGCCGCCGCTGCAGCGGCCGCCGCAATGGGGTTGTTTTGTAACCCGTTCTGCAATCCAAACGGATTCACCTGAGCAGCGTTGTTCGCAGCCTGGGCTTGCGCAAGCTGATTCTGCACGAGAAAGAGCGCTGCCTGGTTATTGGCTGCAGACAAACCATTTGTTTGCTGAGCAACGGCCGCTTGAGCAGCTGCACGTTGTGCATTCATCGCCGCCTGCAGTTGCGCCTGAGTATGTAGGTTCGCAAGAGCAGGATTCTGACCCTGACCAAGAGGCGGCACAACAGGCACAGATGAGCGGACGGTGCCGTTCGCAACGTTGCCATTGCCATGTGGCACCATCTTTGCTTGGTTGACTGCCGCCACCTGCGCCGCGTGCTGCAAAGCCGCCACTGCGTCGCGTGTAAGAGCTATACCACCCGCTGCGTTGGCACCGTTAGGCTGCGCCCGGCCCGCGGCTTGCAAGAACATCTGCGCCTCCTCGCGAGTTTGGAACTGCAAGCCGTTCTGCGCTGCCGCACCCGGGACTGGACCCCCAGAAATAGCAGGGCTATTTGCACGTCCCAAGTTGTTCAGGTCCGCTGTGAAATTTTGTGCGAGCAGCAAATTAGTTGGGGCTGCAGCCATACTGTACAAAAGGGGCGTGGCAAATATGCCCCTCGCGTGGAGCTGACGGATAGCGGCAGATTTCCGGGGCGGCAAGCCTTGCCGTGGTCTCCAAGGGAGGAGTTTGCCTGCATGTTGAGACAACACGTCAGTCCAAAATGTGAGTCGAAGCATATGGTTCTGTTGAGGTTGAGGAAAAAGACTCCAAAGTCGACATCAGAATAGAGATGGCTTCTCGGCTGGGGCTGATAGGCCGCTGTTTGCTTACCGAGATGTTTATGCCGACATGGTGCCCTCAAGAGACTCGAGGGATGAGCATTGGCCTGTCGCCTGCAAGCAAAAAACATGACCATTCATGAAGAAGAACGATTAGAAGGAAGGCATGCTGTCGGAAGCTGGTGTCGAGTAGGTCCGCGACCGTAAACGATAGTGGATAAAAGTGCAGCCCGCAGCCACTTCTGTTCCCCCTTGCGCGCAGTCGCACACGCGACCTAAGCTATGACAGCAGTATCTACAAAGGAAGGCCTGCGCTAAACAACAAGCAGGGGCGGCGCGGTTACCTGGAGAAAGGTTCGTGTCTACTGAGATCGGAGCGGGAACCCGCGAGCTAGGTATCAACAGCTGCAGGAAGTCATGCAAATTAAAGAGAACTCTGCAATCTTTGATGCGTTGAACTCTCGAACCAAGTATGCAACATCAGGGGGAAGACCCTCGCCCGACGGGCCCCCTGGAGCATTGGAAATTCTCCTCTTGTCCTCCATACGTGTGAAACTCGTTATAATATATTATTTCTATTTCTTATGGTTGTCATTGGTTACAGGGTTTGCATGCTTAGCAAGCGTTTGGAATCTACTGCTCTCTTTCATCTCGTCTATGTGGACGGAGGATTGAGCACCACGGCAGACCGTCTCGGTTATGGCTTCGCGGACATATAGAGTCAGGCTTCGTGCCGCGTCTATTTTTGCGTGCGTGAGGAACCCTGCAGCCAAGTTGCGTCACCATAACGTTCCCTGGCGCGCTGCTCGCCTCTGTTATCGACAGTAACAGCGTATACACTAGCGGCCTTTTACTGTCGGGTGACTTTGTATATCTTCTGTGAAATTGGGGCCACCACGTGAGCAGTAGAAAGGGCGAATGTCTGTAGATGAGTGCGAAAATATTAAAATATAATTTTACGTCGAGGGAAGGGCCAAAGACACGTGCTAGGATAATGCCCCCTTGCATTCGAGCGCATCGCTGAGTTCTCGACATGAGGAGCCACAATTCCAAACCCCGGCTACTCCCTTCCCTGAAGCGATATCAAGCTTTATGAAGCACATCTTATTGTTTGGCAAGACGAACCATTCCCAAGAGGGTCCTTGGAAAGGGTCCCTTGCACGAGAAGAGTCTTGCCTTGCCGGGAAAACGCCTCGAGGAAATCCTTGCCCTCCCTTCAGTACTGCCACATGTCCTGTCGGCCTATCACCTTTCGTCTCTGCTGGGCTCCGCATCGCCTTCTCATCATTGCTCGCACAGTTGTCGCCCTGCTACAGCAACCTCCCACCTTAACCCTCCCCACTCGAAACGTCTCCCTCCCTCAATCCTAACCAGTCAACCTGGGAAAAACAGTATCGGTCTTCACAGCATTTGTAAAAGCCTCACGAACAGCGACGGCGCGTACACGCGACTGCGCAAGTCTGCCTCATCCAGGTCATGCCCCGCCTCCACGCGTCCCCACTCATCCGCTTGGAAATCCTCTTCCAGCCGCGCAGCCGCCAACGCCTCCGCCGGCTGGATATGCCCCCGCAGCAGCGCCGCCGCCAGCACCACCGACTTGCATGTGGAAGTGAGCTGTTCAGCTGCAGCCAGATGCCAGGCGTCCAGGTCTGCTCCACCAACTCGGCCAGCCAGCAAACGAGCGAGCACCCGGAAACCCGGACGCGACGGAAACCGAGAAGAACGCAACCGCCGTGTCAAACAAGGTCCAGCGGAAAACGGCAAACGGCAAATCAGGCCGAAAGATAAAGGGCAGAAGCGGTGAGTGATAAGACGCGCGGAAACCCGACATGCAAAAAATGAACATGGCAAGATGTGAAAAGCAGATTGACTGGGACTCGGGGACTGGAAATGTTGGCCGTCTAGCTGGTAATATGAGAGACAACGTCTGAAGTAAAGATACAGCGTAAAGCCTGCAGGGCTTAACTCTGCTACACTGCTGCCGGGAACTATCCTCTATCCGTGGGAACCGTCAAACTGCTCTAGACCGTACACAAAACAACACAACGCACCACAGCAAACATACACATACCGCATTTCCTAATCCTCACGGCTTGGTTCACTACATAATACACATACATACGTACATACATTCATACACACATGCCACGCAGGGGCAAAACTGGTTGGGTTTAGATCCCAGATGCTCCTGACACGTTCTCAAGCCGGAAAGGGTCTTCCATTCCTGCGTCCTCCCGTACCTGCCCTCATTAGTCGGGCCCACCTTTGCCCATCGACTCACCACCCGCATCACAGCCCCGCTCCACCCCACCCCAGCCCTCACCCTCCAGCCAGCCCCGGACTCCCTCCACCAGCTCCTCGGTCTGTGGGCTGCCCGCAATGCTGCTGGACATCACGAAGCGCCAGCCCAGGTCTTGGTGTAGCGCGTTCAGAAGGGGCACGAATACCTGATGGATGGGCGGGGTTGAGGGACCGAGGGCCGAAACAGGAAAACTGGTAAGGACAAGGAGGGGGTAAGGGGGAAATGCATACGCATATGCATGAACGCCGTCAAGCTATGAAGCCGTTTTAAGGAGCCGCACAGTTGCTTATAGCACACGCACGTACGCACACACACACATACAGCACTTCGGCCTGTTCCCATATCTTTCAAAGCACACAGATACACGCACACGGGTCACCACGACACGCACACGACACACACATCGCCGCACACGCCTACCTGTTTCTGGCGCCGCGCCAGGGCGCCCTCCTCGTAAAGACAGCACGCGGAGTCGGTGTGGACGTAGTTAAGGATGTGCGCGATGACCTTCTCACGGGGACGCGGCTAGCGGACGCGGAGGGGACGGTAGGGACACCGGCGGTAGGGACAGCGGCGGAACGTGGACCGGGGGGAGGACCCGGGAAAAGGAAAACGAACGACGATCTCAACCAAAGTTGGCGGAGGAAGGCGGGAAGGCGGGACTTCGGAAGGGACACACACACACACACACACATATATACATACCTAGTTATGTGCGGTCTACACAATTTCCCAAAAGGACTGTGACGAGAGGGTCAGTCACCTGTGGGCATGAACCTTTCGTTGGCGGGAGGTCTGAGTCGCCACCGCCACGACCGAATCAAGCCAAGTGGGTGGCAAGGCACCCTCGCAGCCGCCTCTCCCTAGCTCTCCAGCTCCCAGGAAAAGAGCTGGTGCTTGACCCACCCAACCCAACCCAACTGAACAAACTGGCCGCCTGGCAAAGAATGTGTTGTTTCGACAGTAGGTGAGCATATCCGACTGCCCCTCCGTACCGGATCCCTCACGTCCCCCGTTGGAGGAGATGAGAGACGGAGCGGAGCAGAGCCGGAGACGAGGATGAACCAGGGCAGTCCTGGGTTGCGAAAAGTGTGCCGTACGGCAGGTGTCGTATACCCCTACTACGCTGTAATATACCGTACCTGGTCTAGCGCATGCGCCACCAGGCTCATCATGGGCATGGTATGCAGCTGCGGTTTGCCCTTTTCCTGCGATGAAGGAGGGAACGATAGCGAATCGAGGGATGGGGCGAGGGAGAACGGAGGGTGGGAAGAAAAGGGAGCGGAGGGGAGGGCGGGGTACGTGAGCGATTGTGCCGGTGAGGGCTTTATGTACAGTTGTTAAAAGTGGCAAAGCTAATAGTAATAATGATAATGATGATGTGTGAGTACAGTAGCTGTAATGGCGATTGAATCAATCGCACGCCACGAGGTCGGCAGTGTAACCCCCCAATCAAGTTGAAGGTACTGTAACGAGGGGCACGCGGCGTTGCGGACCTCACTTCTGCAATCCCACAGGCAGATATAAGCATAGGTTCAGGACGAAGTGCGGCGGGCTGCGGGCTGCGGGGTTGGCGAGTTCCAAGTGTTTCGCGGCATTCCCTCGGTTCGGAGCCCGTACCTGCCATTCCCACTCCGCAGCCACCGCTAATGCTAACGGTAAAGTGGGAAGCACCGCGAGCCGCTTCCCCGGAGTTCGAACAGGTTTAGAATCCAGCATGAGCTGATAGCCCGCCTGTGTGTCAAGGCCGGGTGGCTGGATTGCTCGGATGAAACGGGGTTAACATGCGACACTCCAAAAAGACATACGTACGTTATCGTGAGACGGTACAACTTTTGCTGCCTTGTAGAACCTAGACGGCGACTGCACTTGCGTGCCGGTGTGCGCATGGCGACAGATGAACAAATGAGGTAAGAGCGCCGACAGATGTGAAATCGCAGGGCGTGCTACGGAAAGCACGGCGTCGGTAGCATGTCTTGAAGTCATGTTGAGCACGACGCGTGATGGTTGGAAGCTCTCTGGGATGCAAGGTTTGGCCAATCTGAAACCCGTGTATGCCGTATTACAATTCTTTCTTGAGATAGAACGAAATGTGATGGCGACTTATCAGGTAACGTCATTGCAATATTATCAGGTTTATCGGCTTAATCCTTGCGCTACAAGTACTCGACGCGCACAGGCCCTCAATTGCCACAGAGGCTACAAGTCACATCAGCCCTTACGTGACGATCCTATTAATGTACACCATCATAGTACTTTAGTTACAGGCGAAGTAAATAACTCTCTGCAACGTAGCTTACGGAGAGCGGCGGTAGGCACAGCGATAGTCGGACTAAGTTATTATGAAGTTTAAGCTTCCACAGTATGCGTTCATCCTCGGCTCAAGGGGGAATGTCAAAGATCACGTGCGACGTTTGCTGGTGGAACAGCATGAGGTGGACCGGACGGTGTTCAAGGCTATGGTGACAGACAAGTCACTGCCGCTGGACATAAGGCTGCAGGTGCAGCGGCTCTTCGAGACAGAGGTTCCCCGCGATTCTGCCGCGACGCGTGTCGTCAACCGATGTGTGCTAACTGGTCGCGCGCGCGGTGTGCAACGCTTCACACGTCTGTCACGTATCATGCTCCGCCAGCTGGCGCACAACGGCTTCCTCCCCGGCATCTCCAAGGCATCCTGGTAACGCTTCTTGGCAGGGGCAGGACTGTAACCCCTGGCCCTTGGCTGTGAGGGGCGTTCAGCCCTTGTGTGGCAGCGATTCACTGTCCAATATCGAGCTTCACCGTGGTGCGAAGCAACAAACCCACATTTGCTGACGAGGGGAGACAGCTTAGAGATTCCTCAATCGATGTCCCAGTTGGGCGGAGGCGTGTGGGAGTCTATGCTTAGGCCTTTATGACCGCCTTTATCGTTGCTTGACAGATGTGAATCACCGCAGCTGTTGGACGTTTCATTCCCAAACCTGTGCTGTGCTGAAGCGCTGGTCGCACTGGGCCGTCCTGGAGGATATCGCCGTAAGCGAGGCAGCGTGGGAAGACGCGTGTCGGGAGGAGCATCTGGGGGATCTCAGGGCAGGATGGGCACTTAGCGGCATACAGGTCATGGTGGCGAAGTTGTGGCGGTAGTGGCGTATTGACCGATCCAGCGGCAACCGAGCCGGCTGCCGGCTCAGCCGCCTTCGGGTAGCGCTGTAATCCCTAGGCAGGCATTGGAAACGGTGTAGAGGTCACGTTGGTGCGGGATCGTAAATACCCTGTCGTCATGCGAGATGCCACACAGGTGGCTAATGCAGAGGCACGCTGGTCCTGCTTGGCATTCTGACCCGCGGGTCGTTCATAAGGGCGTTGGAGCGGGTTAGGTCAAACAGTGTATCGCGCTGCTGTGGACTTTAACGGGGCACTGGTGGTTATTGCCAGCCTCGGGTTATCGGAAGCAGTGTGTTTGTTCTGTTTGCATCAGGTGCAGTGAACCAATTCACAGTGCTGCAGCTGGCATTGCCCAGCCCACTCCTCTTTCCTTACAGTGCAATACTGCGAAGCAAACAACATTATGAAATGCGAGACACGTCCCTGTCCTTCCACAAAAATCGAAGCTCACCCGCACTCAGCAAGGTTATTCTCTCAACAATAAAAGATTCAACGAAGGCCGCCGTGCCACCGCAGCATCAGCGCATTCGTGCAGCGGACTGCGATCGGCGCCAACACTCTCCCTCTTTCTCCACGCACGTTATACCAAGGCTGCCGCCGGATATGCCGTACATGCCAACAAAGCACGGTACTGTACAGGGCGGCCCGGTGTACTGTACAGTAAGACAAGCTGCTGAAGTAAACACCTCCCTCGGCTTCAAACACCAGATGACCAAAAATACGACCAACAAATTCTCTCAAAGCGCAGGTACAGAGGGGCAATTACCCGCACGCTCCTCTCATCCCACCTCACCTCGCCCTAGCACATTTGCCTACACCTCGCCTCTTCCGAGCGCCAACGTTAAGAGCACAAGCAACGATTCAATAGCAACTACTATATTACCATGCTACCAATACCGCTGAAAAGCCTTCCCGCAGTTCAACCCTTAGCTATCCATCTTCCAGCCCACCAAGCGCCGTCCGGAGGCGCCCTCCGCTGCCTGTTACTTTTAACCTTTAACCGGACAGTAAACTCTTAAACCCAAACGCGGTTCAGCTCATCAAACGACCCCTCAAAAGAAGATTTCAAAGAAGCATTCCGCACCAGCGTAGGTCAGCTCAGCACACACACACAAACATATATTACACACACGCAAACGCACACGCAACGGCACCTCCTTAGCTGGGGTGCCGCCCACAACATGCACAACGCAGCCACAAGATTTGGGCCACTGCGCGCCCACGGTGGCACTGCCCGCCGTTGCAAATCGCTCTCCCTGCGCGGCCCCGCGGATCGGTCGTCCAATCAAGCGGCACCGTGCGATGAAGGAAACCCTGCCGGGCCAGCACAGAAAAGGGCAGTGCAGCGCCGAAGCCGCTTTGGCGTGCGCAGCCGAGCCGGGCCCAACTCAGGCACGTCAGCGCACCGCTAAGCAAAAGATGCGGACAGGGCAGGACTTACCGACAGACAACCGGACAACGGCAATCTACCGTACCAAAGATGGACGGTAGAACAGCCGCCGCCACAGGCAGCCTGCGGCCCTGAGGATGCGTAACGCTATGTGACGACGTCGACAAAACACCGTGCAGGAGAAGCTAACCATGCCAAAGACGTCAGGCTACCGCTGCCGCCGAAGTTGGCACGGCCCACCTCGCCCTTTTCCCCCATCCATTTCACATCATACCAACCCGCCATGCGCATCCCCCCCTCCAGCCTCCACCAGCCCGCAAGACTGGAGACGTGCCCCTGTCCATTCAGATACCCAGATACAATACGCGTGGAGATGCGCCGAACAGGATGTAACCTAGCTGCACCGCCGCTGCACCGCGCGCCTGCCAGTGTCAGGACGTAGCTGGGAGATACGGGGCCCCGATACCAAGAGAATACAATTAAAGCAACGACAAAATAAGGTAACTGTGGCCCTGCGGGGTTGGCGCTCTCTCCAAAGGGGAGCCCGACTAGGGGCTTGAACGCGCCGCGCCCAACCACCCGCCCCGCTGCGGGGTACGACAACAGGGCAAAGAATACGACACAGAAAGCGGCATGCGGCATGTCGCAGTAGCGATAGGTAGTAACAGTAGTGAGTTGACCAAAAGAATGCCATACGCCTCCTTCACGCACACCGTGAGGGCCTTCAGCAGCAGCAACAGCAGCAGCCGCTGCTTTGGTGTGTTGCTGGTGCTTTTGCTTCTGCTGCTAATCCTTCCCTCCTTTCGCTTCTGCTGCTAATCCTTCCCTCCTTCGGAGCCACGTATTGCATCCCCGCAGCTGCAACGAAGCCGGATTGGTGAACAACAGCCCAGCACAGGATTCGCACCATGACCACCAACCACATCCAGCGCAAACTATGCCTTTCCAAAACAAAACACACGCGCTCTTAATATCCATGGGCGATTCTAAACCCCCTAGCCCATACCCCGGCGTAAAGGAACCTTTTATGCCGGCCCCTCAATTTGCAGACCTCCCTTTGATTCTCTTTCTCCTCACAGTGCCGCTGCCCAGGTGCCATCTCACGCAACTGCTGGGACCGCTCTAGACGTCTGCACTTTCCCCTCACACATGCCCTCACACATGCAACCGTGTTGAACTAGGGCCCAAAATGCAGTGCGGTAACCCCGGGAGGTGATATCGCAACGGCCTGCCTGGGCCACCACATCATCCTGGGCCCACACAACGGCGCCAGCCTCTGGCCGATGGCAACTCGTTCTGTCTGTCCCTGCCATCTGCTCGCCACCCATCATGCCGCACACGACTGGACCCCCCGTTCAGGTAGTTCAGATACTAGGCACTTCTTTCTTCGGTGCCCAACAACACCCTTCCCTCCGTGTGACCATTCCAGAGCCCAGCCCCAGAGCTGGGATAGCCGGGCCATTCATCCCCCGAGCCTCGCTGCTAGGGGCCCGAACTGACCCAGGCCACAAGCCGCCGTTCACAGGAAGCCAAAGGACTTCAGGGCCACGAGCGCCGTCAGCGCCGCGGTCAACGTCGCCGACACCGCATTGACGGCATTGTTGTCCAGCAGCTTCATGCCCGAGATGTGCACCACGTCGGGCCCAGGGCGAGACATAACGCGGCCGCGTACGGTGTCGTACCCACTGTACTGCAGCGTGGCGCCCAGCAAGGAGTCCAGTGCGCTGCCGAAGAGACCCGCCATGAGGCCTATCGGGATAAGGCGCCACTGGCCCGCCGCCACGGCACGCTGGCTTTCGAAAATCCACAATGTGGGGGACAGCAGGCCTGTGGGATTTGCCAAAGTCCACGCGAGTGAAGCCAAGAAAGGAAGTAGGGGGTATCCATGGCCAGAAAAGGTGGGGAGGTCACCTGGGCAACGAACGGAAGTTACACAGGATGCCATGCCAGGAGAGTGAGGAAACGTGCCGGCAAGGGGCACGTCTAGGTATGCCAGGCGTTACCCCTTACAAACAACATTGTTTGCCAAAGCGACTACACTTCCCCCCTCCTGCCTGCCATCTGAACCCGCCCCAACCGACCGACCGACCAACCGACCGACCTGCCAGATAGAAAGCCAGTCCCACAAACATGCCGCCCATGATGGACGCACTGAGGCCCAGCAGCGTCACACCGCCATTGGTACCCCGCCGCACTGGCCGCATCGTGGTGATCAGTCGGGGCGTGTCCGCGGACAGCGGACCGAGCTCACTGGCCCAGGTGTCGCCGCAGCAGCACGCGTAATAGCCCAGGAAACCGCCCATCAGCCCCGTCAGCGCAGCGGCGCGCCAGGGCTCCAGGGCGGGGCCGCTGGCGGCGGCGACGGCGGGGCCCAGCGGCAGGTCGACACAGCCGGCGAGGATGCCGTACACGACGGCAAGGATGGTGGGCACCAGCCCGTTGCACAGCACCTATGGAAGCGAAATTGCATGTTGCGGCGATAACGGCGAGGGTGTGTGGTCAGTGACGCGGGGAAGGGCCGAAGAGTTGCACAAAGTAGGAAAGTGGAGTGGCACTGAGGTGGATGCGGCCTGGGCGATGGGGCGCAGCCCAGGATAGCGCCAAGACACAGACCCTCGACGGCTATGTGGGCGATCCTGTCTTCGATACAGCTAGTTAGTTAGGATGTCACGTCTTGTGTGCCAAAAACCTGGCAGACGCGCTGTGCCCGGGGCTTTCTTTTGTATTCCCCGACGAAAGCTGTAAGCCCGGCTGCAGTGTAGGCGCGGCTGCAAACAGGTCTCCGTACAGTCCCATAACCCACATCCATGCCATGTTCACTGCTTTTTCACTTCCAGCCAGCTGAACCACCACCACCACCATCAACGTCATGTTGCTGGCGCCCGCGATGTACGACCGGGGCCGGTGTACATCAGGCGCAACGTCGCTTACGGGATTTGCGACGACAAGTCCTGCCCTGTCTGCAATAGATTTCCCCATTTTTTCCCAACGTCTTGGTCTGTCCGCCCTGCGGGTTGGCTATCCCAGCCCTCCTAATCCTTTCACCTTCAGGTTATCTGTACTCCCCGTCGCCAGTAGCCCACACACAAATCTGGCATAAGCACAAACCATGTACGCAGCTCTTCACACTCCCAACACGACAAGCAATGCCTCCAGCCTGGCGTTCACAGCTCCGAAGTATGAGCAGAGCTGATATCGTATCACGTACTCACTCCCCCGCCTTCCTTCCCTGTCTCCAGCCTAATAATCCATACCTGCACCCAGGTACGCTGCCCTCCCTTCTTGGCGTTCTCATCCAGACCCTCCTTGAGCTCCTCTTTGTAGCTGGTCAACTTGCTGGACGACAGGAAGAACGCAACAAGCGTGGCGCCGAACCGCAGGCTTGCGCCAAGGGTGCCGAAGCCAACTACGAACGCCGCTGCGGCACCACTGGGGGACAGCGCGCCGCGTCGCAGCCCCCAGGCAGCGATTGCCGTCGCGCCCGCGGCGGCGCCGACCCACTGTACGGCAAGGCCAAACGCGTGCGATGCCAGCATGGCGAACGCCATGGCGCCGAGCGCCGCGCCGCTGCGCGCCACCGCCAGCACCCGGCTCCAACGGCCCGGTGGCCGCGTCGCGCGAAGCGACTCCAGGGCAGCAGCATCTAGGGAGCTGCTGAGGCGCTGGATATCGTCCAAGGAAGTTTCGGCGCGCTCCAGGGCGGCTTGGGCGCGTGCCAACGCCGCCGTTACCTCGGCGGCAGAGTCGCTGCCGTTGGCGGCGGCGATAGCCGCGGGGTCAGGGGAGGTTGTGCCGTCGGCCGCCGCGGCCCCTCTGTCGACCGTGCTGGCTTTAGTGGCATGGTCTCCGTTACCGCCGGCAGCGTCCGCGGTCCCATTGTTGGCGACGGGGAAACGCGTGAAAGGCGTGTTGACTTGGCGGTAGTGTTCGCTGTAACTATAGCTGCGGGAGGCAAGCCCTTGGCTACTGCTATCGACGCCGTGGGAAAGCGCCGGCAGCACGCTCGAGTCGTCGGTGTCGTGCACAGACCTCGAGGATGATCCCGGTGCAACTGCACTATCGGCGGCCGCGCCACTGCCGGTAATGCTGCCGTTGCTGCTGGTGCCTGCGCCAATGGTGCGCGCGGGTGCATCTACGAAGGCCGCACTGGTGGAGAGCAAAGCAGCTGCCGACTGGCCCGAACCCCCGCCACCAGCTACACTGCTACCGCCGGTAGAGACGATATTTGACCGATACTGACTCGATACTGAGGCATGGCCGTTGCTTGCGCCCACTGCTGGAGGCGTCGCCGGGCCGTCAGCGAAGCGGTAAAGAATGGGCGCGAGAGTCTCGTTGACATCGCTTGAGGGAGGGAGACCCGAAGGGCCCGGACCAACGGCTGCTATAGGTTGCCTATGCTTTCGAAAGGTGCGGACTAGAGTAGGTGGCGCTTGTGCGCCATAAACGGCGACTCTATACCAACGCTGCCCAAAGCGGGCGCTGCATGTGCGCATCCGAGCGCCGGTTGGGGCCTCCATTCAACCTAAAATTTATCAAATCATGAAGTGAGGAAGGGACCATTTGCAGGTCACAAGCGAGCGCAGGCGTGAGGTCCAAGCTAAACGAAAATCCGCACCTTTTGTTCAAGCTATACAACAAATTAGGCAGCGACTGCTGTGCGATACATCTGAAGGCATTGAGTCACAGTTGAAGCATTCCTAGCCGGCAGGATAGGCAACACTGATGAAGCCAGCGCACAAACAGGTTCTACACAAGCAGCTGTAGGTGGTATGGACAGCAGGTACACTGAGGTTAGAGTTCTTAAAGTAAGGATGGAACAGAAGCGAATGGGAACACTGTGGACAAAGTAGGTGTTTTTTCCTTGACAAAGCAACCCTAGATATTTGCCAACAAGGTCGAGTGGACCAAAATAATCCTATTGTGTGACAGTTCTACAAGGAAGTAGTTGAGTGCAGGCACCGTTATCGCGGTGCAGTTAATCAGTAGACCGTACAAGGGAGAGGCATCAAGGTCCACCATACTTTCGCAGGCTGCAATCTTAGGTTAGCTTACCGCTAGAATTTTAACGGAGCTTGCTTTGCGCGACGCTTCAAAGGGGTCCTCTCGCTAGGCTCGCCTTAGCGCACGATCGATAACCTGCATGATTTTCTTTTAATTAAGAGCTCCATCGCGCGAACTGCGCGGTTGTTTTGCTGAACTGAAAGATGTTGGCGTGCGCGACAGTCGATCATTGCGATGTAGCAACGGCGTTGGGCACTGCTCCTCACCTAGCCTCTCGCACGCAAGCTTTGGTGGACCGCATAATTAAGGAAATTGCGCTCAACCCAGAGCTGGGTTTCGTCCTCGGTAGGTCAACTGTGTTGGCTCGGCAAGCGCTCGTCCACCGCTCCCAACCCTGCACATCCTTTCTTCCACAGGCTTGTCGCTGATCTTGCCCTTGTTGCGATGGGTCTTCGAAAGGACAATTTACAAGGTGTGGGGGCTTCCTGACCATCTTGCGCCTTACAGTTGCGCCGTTGGGCGGGACCCCCTAGCCAACCGTCGCGTCGCAACTGCTTTTGCACACCTATTTGAAGGTTCCTGATGATCCTAATCCAATTACCCCTTTGCTGGTCTCAACCAGCCATGCCCTCCTTCTGTACATCTTATCTCCACTGCCCCAAAATCCGGACCCGGACCCTTTGGCCACGCGGACCAACGCAGTCCTCCACTTGGCACATTGTGGACTTGATCCCACCAAGAAATCTTTATGCCAGCGCAAGCACCATGCCCCCTGCTGAAGCCCATGCCCACTGCTGACGCCCCGCATGCCGGTGTTGTGACTCTGCAGCCCATCGCAAAGCGCGTCCTTCGAGGGGCGAAAACAGAGCGAATCACCAAAATGTGTGAATCCCTATGGAAGGTGCGAATGGAAGCTGCCGACGGTGGCCGGCTCCTGGCCGGGTCTCGGGGCTTTGGGTACCATTATAACGGGCCGGGTTTCTCGGGCCTCCTGATGCCAACAACAGTATCTGCCGGCAGCAGCAGTTGCTGCTGTAGCAAAAGCACTTTTTCCGACGTCTGGAGCACGTTTCGATTGCTGCAATAGTGGCAGCCATTCGATAGTCCGCGGCTCAGCGTCCAGCTGCGGCCATGCTGCGGAGCTAGGGGCGGGCGGGCGGGCGCCCGCTGAAGGCGAGCGTGCTGAAACGACAATGATGCTGATGCAGTTACCATCTCAACTTATACATACACATGCCTCAGCGGTGGCACAGTTCAGCATGCACCCTGCCCTGTGCTGCAGCCGCTCTGTCACCCACGGCACCTTTGTGTGCCCCGCATCATTCCCCGTCTGCCAAAGGGCTTGTTCCGTCTTTCCTCCACGGCGGATGAATAGAGGGAAAGAGACATGCAGTCTTGAGACTTGATCTGTAGCTCCCAAGAAGAGGGAGAACCTCTTTGCGGGACCTTTTCGTGCCTTGTTGGCGTTTGACCATCCCCGTACCCCCCTCTAACCAGCCTGGGCCTGCGGAATTTCCTTTCCGTCCCCCTCCGCCAGGGTGGACCTGTTCATATGTTTGCACGTGCTGGTCTCCACGCAACTCACCACGATCTCGGCCGCGTGGGTTAGATATCCGCTATCCATCCCTCTTTCCCCGCACTCTTCTCTCTGTTCACATTTTCCTCGGTCATTCGCTCCTTCCCATTTCGTGTTTCTCTTGTGTTGGGCTCTTATTACCTCCCTAAGTATTTCCGAGTCCATGCATCACCAATGCTTCCCAGTTTCCCCCAACGCCTCTCGCTCTCTCTCCAGATGACGGCATACGGTTCCATGCTGCTGCTGGAGGTGGCCATCGTGCACCGGGAGTCCTGGTTCTGGAGGCCCAAGGACTACTGGGTGGGGTGGCCTAATCAGCCCGAGCTGTGAGTGTACCGACCCGTGGGTCATGTCTCATGTTCGGGTGCGGCAGGGGCAGCGTTGTCGGGCGTTTGCCAGCGCTCGGGAGACGGCAGGATTTCCGGAGGAAGGGCCAGCGTTGCGGCAAGTGCCAATGCCAATGCTGCAGTCGGAAGGATGGTATTGCGGTCAGCAGCAGCGACCTGCGAGGGCCAAATATCGCACAGCCTTCGGCCTCATGGCCCTTGAGGGTCCCCTCAGGGCTCGTATGGGCCCCCAGGCTACACCTTTTGGGGAGTCAGACGCAACTCCAAAAGGTGTAACATAGAGAGACACACACACACACATAGACACATTAGCTGGGGACCTGATTACCAATAAGTTGGAGCTGAATTTCCGCGGAGGTACTCCGGGGCGTAGGAGGGCTGGGGAGGGGAGGGGAGGGAAACCGTTATCCTGCCTTCCGTGTGGCCGTGGTTGTATCACAGGAAGGAAAATTCCATGTGCAGGCATACTGTGTGTCACTTTCGTTGGGCTCAAGGTTGCTTGGGGCCCAGGAGGCCCCAGGCAGGGCCAGGGTCACAATTCTAGCATTTAACCGGGCAGTTCAGCCCTAACCAGGGATCTTGGCTTTCCTTGATTGCCTTACCTGGCAAGGCGGCCCTCTAGCCCTGCCTGTCTTGCCATGTCGCACCGGCCTGGAGATGTCGCACCCACTGCTTTTCACCTCGTGTCTCCGCCCTCTTAACGGATGCATAACGTGCTGAGGCAGCACGGGTTAGCCTTATCCGGCCCCGTCACGCTTGGCGGGGTGAAGGTTTTCCTTCAACATCCACCCCTCTCCTCCGCCAGTGTCCATGTCCCAAGTCGCGTCTGGGCAGCTACCTAACCACTGCGCCGCTGAACTGCGGCACCTTTCTAGCTGTGGAGCTCCGCACAGCCCTTTGAGCAGCCAACTTATACACATCCGACCCTCTCGAGATCTGTGCACATCCGCCACCGCCCATGTTCTCCTGTGCCGTCCTGTCCCATCCTCCGGCCTCCCTGGGCTGTGACCCCAGGCCTCTGATGCGGCTGTTGTTCGGCGTGCAGCTGGCCTACTACATTTCCACCACCTTCACCCTGGCGCTGTGGGAGGTGCCCCGCAGCGACTACTGGGTGATGCAGACGCACCACTGCTGTACCGTGGTGCTCATCTATTACAACTACGTCAGCGGGTACGTGCGTGCGCCCTTCAATGTCGCGTGGGGTGGGTTTTAGGGTAATGGCAATCGGGGCCTGACCAGAACAGAACATGACGCAGGGTTACTGCGGGGGGGCCAGGGCCTCCGTGATAGCGCTCGGGTTGTGTCCAGCTGGCTGCCCTGCGGGATGTGGGAATGAGAGGGATGCGCACCTAAAGGTTTTAGAAGGATGCCTTTTGGGGTTGGTCCCACCCACTACTATCGAGCTCCGCTCTCTTTCTCTTCGCCACTTCGCGTGTAGTTCGTGAGGCTTGCAGATTTGGAACTGAGGGTGGCCCTCGGGGAACCACCAAACGATGGTTCAACCTACTTTTAAGTATGTGAATGTGTTCGTATTTAAATGAAACATGTCTCTTTCCCTCTTCCTCTCCCTCTCCGTCCCTTCATTCTTCCTGACCGACCGCCCATCGGATTAATCGCGCCTGCGCGCCGCCAGGTACCAGCGGTGGGGCTGTCTCATCATGCTGCTCCACGACATCAACGATGTAATTATGGAGGTGGCCAAATGCCTCAACTACGCTGACTTGCACACAGCAGCCAACACAGCCTTTGCGCTGTTCGTGTCGGCCTGGGCGGGCTTGAGGCTGTACGCCTTCCCTACCTTCCTCATCCGGTCCACGTTGCTAGACAGCGTGCGCGTGCTGGGCTACACGCCGCCGCACCACGGCCTGCTCAACAGCCTGCTGTGCGTGCTATACGGCTTCCACATCTACTGGTTTGGTCTCATATTACGAGTAGCCTATATGACGCTACGGAAGGGCAAGGGCGAGGATATAAGGGAGAAAGAGGAGTGATGTGTGGGCGTGAACGCGTGCCTGCGTGCATACGTACGCTGCTTAAATAAGGGATTTAGCTCCCCGTAGCATGCATGGGGTGGAAATAGAGGGGACGTAAAGCAGGGCCGGGGATTGAAGCTATAGGTGCGCATGAGGGAACGAGGATTGTTTTCGTGTTACAGGAAGGGTGAGCCGGAGAGTTCTGTCTTGTGAGCTCTAGGGTGGAATGTGTGTTGCAGGACTCTGTGTCGTGGTGCAGAGGTTGGCAGGATAGACAGACGTACCTAGGAGAGGGTGATATGTTTGTAGTGCGGGGAAGCATGCGCGTCGAGGATTGTGGCGGCTGGGGGGAGACTTGGACTTGAGACAACTGTTGGGGACTGTCAGCATATTAGTCAGGCATGATGTTAATTATAAGGTTAAGTTGGCAGTGTCAAGATGCAAATTCACATGCTTACGGTCAGGCGCTGCTCTGGTGACTAGGCTTTGCATGTGCGGGCAGCTTGATTCGAGGGCTCCGTAAGGAGAGAGGGGGAAAGGGGCCATCGGCCCTGCGATAAAGGGGCCAAATGAATTCCTTGCGGATGGTGCCGCCGTCCCAACACCGGAAACCCTGCATCTATGTTAGGATGGCTACTGAGAGGCCCGATCAGAGATTGCGCATTTCAAACCGCAGCTCATGAAAGGAGCACCGCGGATTGTGGTCGTCTTTTTGGCTGCTCCCCTGTTGGCCACCGCATGCCGCCGGCCACATAATGCTCGATCGTCGATGTTTGGGTCTTGATTCAATCACTCACGTCGATTAACCTCTCGGTGTCACGCAAAAGGGCGGAGTTTGCGCGGGCAATGGGCCCTAGTTGCTGGGCCCAAAGCATCTGCATGATGACATGACCAATTTCTTTCTCCTCTATCTTTTGGGCACAGGTTGTTCAAAGGAATATGATGATATTTTTTACGCGTGTATCCGTGTCTTTGCTGTGTCTCTCCTAAAGTAGGGTGTGAGGCGCGTGCAGGTATTAAAGACGATGTGACCAGGGGAGATATACTAGGGTGTGACTCTTGAACTAGTGACGTGCCACCACCACCTGTTTTAATGGGCGCTGCAGACGGTCTATCGGGTTCATGCTTTGGTATGGAGAGCGCTTGCTGAGGCTCAAAAGGGCCGCAGTCGAGAGCCAGGTGCTGAAAGCAAGTACCGGTCAAAATCCTGGGACAAGCAGGTCCCCTTCGAACGCCGATGGGATGGAGCCCGTGGGTGTGCACATGGAGACACACGCACTGGCATACACATACACTGGCACACATACATATGCTGAAGAACGAAGGAATAGAAAATGAAATTGCGTGCTGCCCTGGAGAGGGCGTGTGACGAGTCGTGAGAAAACAAGGCTGTATGTGGATTGTGGGTCATCCAGATACCATCGTCTGGATACGCCCCGGAGTGTTGGAGAAAGCCAACCCGTAGCGAGCAGGCGAAACCCCCTTATATCTGATGTGATACATGATTTTGCTCTATACCACCCTTTTACTATCTTTGTAATACCCTTCCGAGCAGCGCAGCATTCGGTTGCCAGATTTAATGGAAGTGTCAAGGCATCGGGCATGGATAGGTCCACCTTAACAATAAATGCTATATGTGCGCTTGTTGGGGACATTCGCCGTTATCCAGTGCTTTAGGCTCACGCCCTCCTGCCCGCTAAGTTTGCCAATATGCACCCGACACAGCCTCGGGACTGTCTAGGTTAGAACCTATTCACCGGGTTTCGGATTTACTTTATATACACACTATCCTATAGTCATCGAGGTCATCTTCCGGGGAGCCAACTATCAAAGGTATTCGGCGCAGAGTTGCTGCTGGCTGGGCGCTATGACTGAAGCCTCCGGTTTCGGTGCGTCCTTGCCTTTCAGGAAGTTGTCATGATTGACGGTGTGGATACGGTATGCAAGCATGCGTTGCAAATTGCTGATTGCTATGGCAATAAAATATATTACACAAAGCATAAAAGCCTTCGGCAAATCATCCTCTGTGGAGAAAACGCAAGGATGTGTAATGGCCGCAGGCCCAATTTGTACAACCAAAGCAACTTCAAATCACGCATGACTTCACCCTGAATGAGTCAATGGTAAAGTGTGCATGGAAAGGCAGGCGTTCTGAAGTGGGCGGGACACAGGTGCTAGACACCAAAGCAAAACCGCCACGCGTAATCAGGACAACGCCACAGCCGTAGACCCGAGAACTACAACCCCCCGTTCGGACCCTTTTAAAGATCCACGTTGATCCGACGCAAATCAGTATATAATCACGTCGGAAGGTAAATACACACTTCCCGACCCAGTGGCTCTCAAACATGCAGCATGGAATGGATGGGAAAACTGGCGGTTGACCCAATTAATATTCCGTAGCCATCCTAAAATTCTCGGGATTATAATCATATTCGCTAATGCCCAACATGTATTCCAGCGCGACACGTGTTCCTAGGACCAGAGCGACGAGGGCTGCGATGGCCAGCACCGCGGTGACGGGACGCTTGAGCATCGACTGCAACGGCCGCAACATCACGTATCCTGTCCCAAGCATGACGGTGATGAAGTAGCGGCCATAGCGCAACAGATTGCTCCAGATGTCCTGCTCCGCCAGCTCCGCCAAGGGTTGTGTGTGCACATCGCTCAGGTCCGCCGCAGACGCTGCGCCCCCGCTCGCTGCCAGACCAAAGAGTACCAAAGCTGCTGCTGCAACAGGCTGAGCTTTTTCCAGATCGAGCGTTGCAAGGGAGCGCCACCATATGTTATCAGACCCCGACGTAGAGCATTCATGACCACGCTGTGCTGTAATACGGGCATGCTTAGCGTGTACGCGATAACTAACTCCTTTTAAGCAAGGCGAGCTCTTGAATGGCCGAGCGGCTCTGATAGTAGACTGCATTTCTGGTACAGTCTAACTAAATGTGTATGCAGATCCAGTTCACGCTATATATCGTAGAAGTTGCGCCTCTAATCTGAGCGGAGTGTCCATGTTGCAAATGGAAGACTCTGATGCGCCGTACCAGTACGATTCTTAACTCAATTGCGCGGGATGACAATCCGTCGCGGAGCGAAGTATTCCGGGGTCTTAAATTCCCTTCGATCACTGTCGACTCTCTTTACAGAACTTTCGTTAGCTAACCCGCGCTGGACTTGGATATTCATATTGAAAAATCAAGGCAAGGTTCGGTGCTGTGCAGTTACGCTGCTTGCTTTCAGTTTCGGACAGTTACAATGTTACTAACCAGATTGCCGACCTGAACGAGATAATTAATTTTTTGGCACCGAAATCCACCAGCCCTCCTTAAACAGCTGACGGCATGGGGAAACAGCCAGGGAGTCTCGGGTCGCCTTCGCTGCGAAAACAAAGGGATCTAGATGAATCCTCCCAACAGCACCAAAACCATTCGCCAACCCGAGGCGCTGGCTCAGACATGCAGTGCAGCACCCCTGCCATCAGCAAGCGGACAGGTGGTACATTCCCCATCGCTTCAACATGCACCACCATCCGGGCCGACGAATCCGCGCCAGAACCTGTCACCAGTTTCCAAGCCCTGGAAAGTGCCAGTAGCCTGCTGCGGGAGGCGGTCGTGGACGCGGGATCACAGGTCGCGGCACTGGTCCCCCTGCGACCTTCCTTACGGCGTATTAAGGACGACCTTGTCCGTGTCCTAGACGAAGCCGTGAGCTCCCACAATGGCAACGCTTCTCTGCTAGTCCTCGGGCCGCCGGGCACCGGCAAGACGCTGGTGGGTTGAGACCATTATCCTAATACCGTAGGTCTCAACACGAGCCAAAAACATTCTTTCCCCCTCTTCCCGCCTTCCCAAGCGCCTCATATTGAAAGGGGCAAACAGAGGCACGGGATGCTGATTTGCGTTTGGTCCCCGGCTCAAGAGGTCATCGAAATGACCCAAATGGCGTTAACAGCTGCCTTCCTTTCCTGCGGGGAGTCAGTAGAATGTTTGTTGCACAGGCTTTCTTTGCTGCCTCTCAAATTGCGACACCTCAAAGTTTCTTATTACCCGTTTCTTATTTCGGAGCGCACTGCAGGTTGTTGAACGTGCGCTCCAGGTGGTGTGTGCCAAACACAACGGCCCTGTCGCCGCCACAGCTGGCACTGGCACAAGTACTGTCGCCACAGAAGCCGCTGCCGCCACGGCCACAGATCCCACAGGCGGCCCTGTCGCTGTCCACAACGTAGGCGTAGTACGGCTGAACGGCCTGCTGCAGCCGGACGAACGTACGGCCTTCCAGGAAGTGGCTCGACAGCTCTGCCGCGACTTTGGCCAGAAGTTTGTCAAGTCAGCCACGTTTGACGAGAACCTTGTTTTCCTGAAGGGCATGCTGCACGCGCTGTACAAGTGAGGCACATGGCCGCGGGAAATACTTGTGGCCATGTCAGGGTTGTTGATATGGGATACAGGCATAAGGTGCATTGGGACTTATTTGGGTTAACCGTTTGGGAAGAAAGGGAAGAAGAAAGAGGAAGAGATGTTATGGCTCCGCCCCGTCCTGCGGTCCTGCATCCTCAGGTGCCTTAAGAAGGTGGTCTTCGTCGTGGACGAGTTCCAGCAATATGCCAAGAAGGGAAAGCAGCAGATGTTGTACTACCTGTTGGACATGTTGCAGGTGTGGGAGAGGGAAAGGGGTATCGTTTAGGAGTGGGTCGCCGCCGGGCTACCTCTTCCGGGAGGAGAGGGGGCCTTGAGGCAGGGGACAGCGTCGCCGGTTGGGGCAATTATACGAAAAACCAACAGCGGATGCAGAACTGATTAAGACATACCATCTGCGCGTTCCTAATTTGACACTATTTGAGCGTTCAATTGGCTAAATATAGTGGGCAGTTCGTGGCAGGGAAAGTCAGGGCTTGGCGCAGGACGTCCTTGGGGTGCGGGAGGATTTAGGGACAATCGGGAGCATTGGCGAAGCTATTAGCATGAAAGGCAAGCCATGACGGGGCCCGGCGGCTTGGCTCCTATGCATCATACTGGGCATGGTAAACTGGAACACCATTTTCTATGTGCAAGGACCGCAAGACAGGGTTTCGCTCGCGTCATAAATCCTTCCTCCCCCCAAGGCCCCGTCGACCGCGGCGTTTCTGCCGAAACCCGCCAAGGATCCGCACCCATGCATCGTACTCCTCCGCGCAGTCAAAATGCTAATTCAGATTTACATGCAACCTAAATACGAGCGAAGTTATATTTATTTTTGCCGCAGCGCACATTGAACTTTGCAAGACCCTACGAAAGTGCAAGCAAGAAAGCATAATACAGCAACCGGAAAAGAATTCAAATCCTGCTTTCGCAGGACAGCAAAATCCAGGCCGCGGTCATCGGCATTAGCTCGGCACACAACGTGGCGGAGGACCTGGAGAAGCGCGTGCTCAGTCGCGTGGGGCGGCGGCGGGTGCTGGTGACCTTCCCAGCAGCCACACCCGACGAGGTGCGACCCTGGGATGAGGCTGGCATTAGGTTGACACTGCGCAGGGAAGTGGGTTATGGCTATGACGGCGTTTAGGAAAGGGCCCAGGGCGGGTGGCGTCCGAGGGCAGCTGGAAGGTCTTCCGGATGGGGATGTGGATTTGCTGAGCAGGGCGAGCCCGGAAGGGGTGCTGGAGGATGACCGGGATGCTGCTGCTGGCTGGGGCTAGTGGCTGAGGTGAAGGTGTATTGCTTACCAGGGAAGCTCCTTCGAGGTTGAGAGAAGGAAGGGGGTGTGTACTGCACGGGGTATTGAGATAGTGGTGCTAAGTAAGGGTATGCATGGTCCGAATCCACGAACCGAGGGTCCTGTTTTGTGGTGGTGTCCTTTCTATGGTGGTTGCATGTGTCGCAGCCGCTTGGAGGATCCGCGGCTGGTGGCAGCCCCGGGGGCAGCGCCGCAAAGAGCCCCGGCAGCGGCGTCGCAGCTGGGTCTAGCGGCGGCACTGACTCGTACGACGGCCTTTTGTACGACATGTTGGCGCTGCACCCGGGCATGGCAGGCCTGGCGGGGCTTAGTGAAGCGGCGGCGGCGGTGCACAACGCGGCCGTAGCGGAGGCGCTGCGTGATGTGCGCGTCGCGGTGGGTGACATGCTAGATAATGTTTTGGGTGACGTGGTGGTGACTTGACGAGCTGGATCCCGTCGCTGTATTAGCCGTACAAATCTAAACCCGCAAGTCAATGTTGGAGCTTGAGCAGACGACGCGACGTGAAACCCGCAACCCCCATCACGTCACATTAATGGAACTGCCGTACGTACAGGAATGCCTAAAGAAGCTTGCGCTCATCGGAGCGCCGCCACAGCACTTGGCGTTGGTGGCGGAGGCCGCGCTGGCGGCGTGGGGGGATGACTTGCGGCGGCAAGGTACGGCATCAACGGCGGGGCCCCCGGCGGCGGGGTCGGAGCTGCTGCTGCGGCGGCGGCAGGGCGGGTCGGTGCAGCCGCCGGTGCTCGGAGCGAGCCATCTGGTGCCAGCGCTGGGGCCAGTAACGGACGCACCAGAGCGAGCCCTGGTACGAGATCGCATATGAAAGAGAGATCTGTCGTGCGAAGCCCCGCCGCTACACTCACAAGTAGCCGGGTCCACCTGCCCCAGGGCGGTGTGGGGGTTCGGTCCTAGCATCGGTCACGACGCGTGGGTGAGCCCTGGAGGGCGGTCCTATGCCCCGTCATCCCTGTCACGACTTGTAACCACATCCGCCATTCTGCCGACCCTCCGGCTGACCTTCCCCCCCTCGCGGCGTACGTAACAGGTGGATGTGGTTTCGGGGCTGCCGGTGCTATCGCTGGTGCTGCTGGTGGCAGCGCATCGGTTGCAGCGCAAGGGCCAGCCGATGTGCAATTTTGAGGTACGGCAGGGCGAGTGCGGGTACGGCAGCATGCGCCGGGTTCGGTCAGAGGTGCATTACCGTGATGGCGGGGGCCCTCAGCCAGCGCCAAACCCGTGGAAACACCTTTCTCCGGGGATTTACCCCACACAAACATCATCACACACACCTCCCAACCCTCGGATAAACCGCACCAGACATCACACAACTACCTCATCTGCTCTGCGAGCCATGTACCAAAGGCTCCACTATCGTCCCTGTCCCGATCGTTGTCTGGCCCGCCGCACTGCGCCGTACCATACCGTACTGTACGGCACCTCAGATGGTGTGGGATGAGTACCGCTCAATTCAGGGACAGCGGGGCGCCATCGCCTTCAGCAAGCAAGCCGCCGCGGCAGCATGGCAGGCATTACCGCTCAGCGGATTGGGGCACTACACGGACGCCAACGTCGAATCACGCGGGCGGGATCTCTCGTACGCAGGTACGACCCTGATACGACTCATGGCTACACCAGCTTTGTCCCCCATGCCATCCTTTCGCAGCTGCGGTGGCTGCGTTGGCTGCCTGAGGGTTCCCTACGGAACATGCGCGCCGTAGCACTTGCACATTACATGCAGCTGTACGTGGCATAGCACACCATAGCATAGCGCGGTATGGTGTGCTGTGCTGTGGTGTACTTGTGTTTTTGGTGCATATATCAAGTTTGATACACCGCGTCTTTCCGAGCTGCGCGTCCCTCTGTTGCTTCAAATCCGCAGTGCAGTCCGCATCAACAATGTCTGTTGTCCGGGCCTCCTTGCGCAACTGCCTCAGCTATGCGGCGGCTCAGTTTTGCGCCGTTTTGGCAACCATACGTCCATCCATCCACCCGCTCTCTCACAACCACATTGATAATCGCACCCAAGTAAAATGTATATTTTATTTACGCAAATGCGCTGCGTTTTGGTGTGGGCACTGTGGTCCTTTGTTTCACATGAACAGTGTTCGCTCCGCCTGTTTTACAAAATTTATGTCATGCCCTTTGTCTCTTGTACTTCGCATGTATTGTACTTCGCATTCAGGCGTGATGCTGCTTGTTGGCGCTCCTGACCTAGACCGGGGTATTCGTCAACACCCACACTGCCCGGATGCAGTGACTCGATTCCACATGCAAGAGATCTAAACTGCAAGATGTTCCCTGAGAACGACCTAAAGGACAAAAACCTGCTGAACCTTGCTGAATGGTGCGTGATATTTTTTGCTAGGAGATATTTTGGGGAACAAGGCTCTGGGGTTTCTGGGGGCCTTTCTGCGGGATGCCGATAACCAGCTTTCCTGAATAACCAGTTGTCCTGAAATGTGACGAGCGAGAGAGGGGAGTGGGGTGTGATGACGATGCTCGTGCAACCTAATGGCTCAGCGACGGCCTGGGCTGGCCTGAAGTCCGGTGTTTAGTTGGGGGCCTGGACCAGGTGTGGATCTGCAGATGTCTGCATGATTCGCTCGTGGGGTTGTTCACGGCTCTGTACGGCGGCCAGGTCACAACAGCCCCGTACCAGAGCAGCTTCAGAGGCGGCGGCGGTAATGCTGAGCGGTCGGGTTGGTAATGGGTGAAGGTTACAGGTGTGGCGTGGCATTGACTGTCTTTGCGCTGTGAGGACGTGTGCTCGATGGACTGTGCCGCGACAGGCCACTGCATGCCGCAGCTTTGGCGGGGTATGACCACGGGTAGGAGAGGGGAGGTGGACGATTCTGACATCCTATTACTCGTGTTAAACTCCGGCAATGGAGATGCGCCGGGATATGCCCGAATATGCCGATGCGGGGGCAGGCACAAGCAACGGGCGTGTCACGTTGCACAACCCCGCGCACATCAGTACTCGGCGACTGCGTGGGACAGGAGAGGTGTGTGGGTCGACGGAGGAGGGTGTTGCGAAAGAGCGATTAAAAGATCGTGCATGGCCTCTTTATTGGTGGTTTAAAACTGGGCATTTTGTGGGTTAGCCTTATTACCTAATGCTTAGGGTTGATGCACGTTTTCCCTTGCAGGTTTAACGGACCTAAGGCCTATTGATTATTACGGAATTAAAGTCGCTGCTTCTCATTTTCCTCGGTGCCCAGACACAGGCCCGCGCCTGCCTGCTTTGGTCGCAGCGGCTAGGATGGCAAGGAGCATGACAAATAAGTGAAATATAGGCCACATCGGGCAAGGTTACAGCAGTGGTAAAATGCTATGCCGCTAGCTGCGATGGAGCAAGCAACCTATCCGTCATTCCCCGCACCCTTACGTCACGCAATCCCTTCGTCAAAACACAGACTGCTTTAAGGGTGTGGGAGTCTGCTGCCATCACCCGGCTTGGCCACTCACCTTCTTTTCCCGTTTTGTCTCATTATGGGTCGGCCCTGAAGTCATCCGCTCTTTCCTAATAGCCCTATTATCATCTGGGAGCCGCACCACACCGTCTGGGCACCCGCATCCGCAGGTGTGCAACCACCATGCTGTCGCTAAGACAACACTAAGCAGCAGACCGCGCTATGCAACAAGTAACGCCGTGCAGGGGTACTCAATCCGCAATTTCATCCATTCGTCAAACCGTGCGGCCTAAGCAGCACGCCGACAGGCGGCAACAGCAAACAAAGCTTCCCTCGAACAGTCCAGCGACCATGACGCTGAAGGGCAGCAACACAGCGTGTACGGCTGGGCTGCAAGATAATTTTTATGCAAGCTCCTAAATAGGCGACGTTTCCAGGGTGATAGCCCAGCCCCCAAGTTTGCGCCGATACCCTACGAGCTCTCCCTGCAGCAGCAACAGTACTCAGCCGACCATCCGCCCGGCCTGCATGACATTCCATCACCGCCTCTAACAAGCTCCTCTGCCAGCACATCGGAGCAAGCTGGCAGGTCACCTGCATACAAACCAATCCCAGTACCTTCAAGCGCCTGGCGCGCTCCTCAACAAGGACTCTATCGACACGGACCTTGACGCCGAAACCCGTTCCGAAAGGCCCTAACCGACCCTCCTCTAATGCTGCGCAACGCTGAAGTTTGCTCAGCGTTGCGTCGCGTTGAGCAAATTCCGCGGCACTGTAGCTCCATTCCTTGTCCGCATCAGGCATCTGCGCATCCCCCCATACTTTTAGTCCCCTACCACCTGACTGCCGCATGTGTGACTTCCCGCAAAGATGGGCACCGCAGCCCCTGGGTCCAGGAACCTGCGCACCCAATCCGTCAAACTCTAGACTCGAGAACAGCAACAAGTTGCGCCGCAAGCTCAGTGGGGCCGCAACCCCACACCAGCATATGCCCTGCCGGGGTCCTGCCATTAGTCCTGAAGACCCGGGGCATCAGATCCTCCGCCGGAGCCGCCGCCGCCGCCACCGCTGCCTGCGTCAGTAGGACCCAGCGTGTCGTCCATGCCGCCACCGGGCCCTGCCGCCACGCCATCTTGCCCTCGCATGGCCGCCTCAATCTGCGGCACAGCACGGCGTGGGTCGATGGGTCGATCGGATTGGGGAGTACTAGGAATACACAGGCCGCAGACATAACCCAAGCACGGTGTGCGGATATGTGGATGAGCCGAGGATAGGGGCGGTGGGGTCGCCCAGGTAAGGTACGAGCAGCACACGTAGAACACGCACGTGGGCGCTGTTACATGCAGCGGTACTTTGATTTGGGGCTCCGGCAAACGTGGGTATGGACTCGTGGATTGGTGCGAACTAACTAATTATTACCCCCGTCCCCAATTCCGCAGCAACAGCTGCTGCAGCTGCCGCAATGGTGCACCACTCCGGTTGGCCAGGGTCCCACCTGTTTGAGCAGCCGGAAAAGCTTGGCCGCCTCCTTGATTCGGGAAAAGTTGATGCAGAAGGCCTGCACCTCGTGGAGCAGGTCGTGGATGTTGATCACCTTGTTGCGGATGAGCGACTGCAGGAAGACGCACACTAACCGCACCAGCCGGTTCTGCACGTACTTATCCTGCAACAGTAGCAACAGCAGCAGTAGCAACAGTGGCGACAGCAGCCACACCAACAGCATTACAGCAGCAGCAAAGAAAGCACAATGCGCGAGGGGACTTTTTCGGAAAGCAGATGAAGAGATAAAAATTCAAACGGCCCGCACGCGGGCTGTCAGGGACTGGGAAAAGTAACACACGGCCAGACCAGAACGCGAAGTCCATTGTGGTGGAATGGCTGTACGGCCAACGGTGCCAACACGTGACCGTAACTCCACTACAGCTGCCGCCGTGCTGGATGAATACGGTGGGAGATTGAGGGAGGGGACCACCGCCGCCGTCACGCAGCAGCAGTCACGCTACTCACGTTCCTGAGCATGACCAAAGCAAAGTTTTTTTCTTTCCATTCTGCTTTGCTGAAGTTTTCGTGGACTCCAAAGTGTCGTGCCGAGAAGCGCAAGGTGTCCACAGCTTGGCCTCGCAACCACGACACAGTCCTTATTCTAACCAAAAGCCCAAACCCTCACGACGAGCAACACTTAACGTGCCGTTGCTGCACTGCATGTCCCATTTTGGACGCCCTAAGGCATACCAGTGACGAACATGTTTTTTACACCAACGGCTCCCGACGTAGCTCCGTCCGGAATCCTCAATCCAGGAAGGCCTCAGCCAAGCTGCCCAAGCACCCCACCCTCCGTCCCCCAAGCACTGACCTGCGTGCTCTCGCATGACGTAATGCAGTTGGTGATGTATAGGTGTACGAATTCCGTTGGTACGGCGCCGCTGGCGGTCAGCCGGTTGACCACCTCGAGTGAATGCAGGCTCATTTCGGAACGCGCCAACACCGCAAGGAACTGACTCGCACGCTCCGGCCACCGCAACAGTCGCAGCAGAGCCTCCGTCGCCACAACCGGCGCGTTCTCCACCAGCGCCGGCAGGTGCCGCGGCGTCAGCCCCAGCCGCAAAGTGACCCGTGGGTCGGCGTCCAGCTCCGCAAGCAGCAGCTGCTGCTGCGCCGGCAACAGCGGCCCGCGCAACGCCGCTGTCAGCAGGTCCCGCGCCAGCGGGTGTGCGCCGCCGCCGCCGCCACCGTTGCCGCTTGCGGACCGACCACCAATGCCGATTGCGGCGGTCGCAGCGGCGGCGACGGCGGCCGTGCCGTCCGCGTCGCCCAGGTCCGAGTCCCAGAGCAACTCTCCATGTAAGTCAGGATTGAGCCATTTCAGCTCGGACGGCAGCGGGGTCAGTACGGCAGGCTGGGGGCGCTCCCAGGCAGGTTGGAGGCCAGAAACGCCAACGCTGCTTAAAAGCAGTTGTGAGAGGTGCGCCGCGGCGGCGTCCGTACCGTCGCCGGTGCCACTCGCCACCTCTGGCCGCTGGGCATAACTCTGTTGGGATGCCGCCGCTGCGGCGGCTGGAGTGGGAGCACTGAGCTGAGGACTGGTATCAGGCACTGCCCGATGAAGGACCCCCCCGGCGAGGCATCCTCCTGGAGAGGGTGTGGGGGTCTGGGCTGCTGTGGCGGCGGAAGGGGCCGCTGGCGGAGCCGCCGCTGGCGGAGAACCAGCGCGAGCTAGCCTGCAAGCCGACAATGAGATAGTCAGGTGGAAGACGCGAGCCACAGGCCTTGCTCGGGGACCCGTACTGCCCACGAATCAGGCTGCCCACGTGGGACCCTAGATGCTTCACGTGAGAAGAATTGCCGGGGTGGACATGATGCTACAAAAGATAGCACAACGAGCAACCATCTCCCCTGGCTTCCCAACCAGAGGCCCCCGCTCCATCCCTTCACTGTGCCTGCCACGACCTGCTTCCCGCATCCAGGTCCCGTGCCTCTGCCGTGTCCTCGCGACGCTCTTTTTTCCCCTCCGCGCTTGTCTCCTTGACTTCTCCCCCACCAATTAATTCGCCATCCGGGCCTAGACTATTCCCCTCTCCCGTTCCTCTTCACCTTCCTGGCCCTACCTGGCTAGGGCCCGCTTCTGGATAGCTGCGATGTCCGCAGTCTCTAATAGCCGGCAGTCGCAGGAGAAGGCGTAGGAGCGAGGGGACAGCTCCGCAACCTGCACACCGGGAACGGGGGGAAAAGGAAGGGGAAACGGGAAAAGCAGCCTCAGAAGTTCGTTTTAATTCAGTTAACTCCCTGGAAAACCTCCCCAGTCTGGTAAGTAACATCCGCTCTGTCGAGTTCTTGACGGTCCTACATTGACGACTATCTCGGCTTCAACAAACAATAAAGCGTTCATTCAGATCTTCCATGGATGTCTTGCTAAAGTCTGTGCACAACCTCTTCCAGCCACCCCACCGTTCGTGAGAAACGGGAGTAAGTTTGCAGTTGATCGTGGATACACACGGCTGGAGTCCCCTGCCTACAACACCACGCGATGGTTTAGCGGAAGGTAGACAGTGCGTGGCGACCCTCGTCCTAAGTGCCCATGTTCTCATCTTCTTCCTAAAAAAATAAAAGAAGGAGCGGCTGCAGGGGTCCCCAGAGGGGCTGGATGTGGCGGAATTCGGAAGAGAGTGGCGCTGGGCCGCCGCGCCATCGCGACAACTCCACACACAGCCAGCGCCGCCGCCGCTGCAGCAGCCGCCGCGACCGTCGCTGCCGCTATTGCTTTAACCCATCGGAATCCCTTAAACGCAAGCACTGCCGCCGCTAGCGGCTGTCGCTGCTGCTAGAGCTGCGTTTCCCCCGTGACAGCTTTCCGTACATGGTCTGACACCTCATGGCCTCTTGCTCCTGCCGCGTTGCAGGCTCAGGCTCCCAGCTCGTCCTTACGCCCAGGACCTGCTTCTATCCCCTGCATCCGCGGGACGCTTGCCTGCATTCCCGCTTATCCACAAGCAGTTGTTGTCCAGCCATCCTGCCGGCAAAGCCACCCTTGATCTGGCGTGTTGCGGCCAGTTGGCCAGGCCCCGTCCCTGTTCGACTGACCCTTAGATTGGCCCCCCAGGCCCCCCACCCCGACGGCACCGCATACGGCGTGCCTACCTCATGTGGCAGCGGTCCCTGCAGCAGCTGGAACAGGAAGGTCCGCTCGACGGGAGGCGCTGCGGTGTTGCCGACGGCCTGCAGACCGTGCGCCCGGCGGTGGCAGTGGCGACGGCGGAAGCGAAGGATTAGGGGCATGGGTGACAAGGGACAGATCAGCCAGAGCATGGCGAAAGCAGTCGTAGCTCTTGGTCGCGCAAGAGCTGACGGACGGTGCAGGTGCCCCTGATAGCTGCGCACAGGGAAGGGTTAAGCACGGCTCCCCTGCAGAGCCTTTCGCGGTGGCTGGAACCCCAACTTTAGCATGGGGGCCCTGTCCCTTCTCTCATCTCTCCCTCACCGACTGACAACGCGCTATCGACATTCGTCTATGACATAGCCCCACTCGTCCATACGTTGTTTCCCCCTTATATCTGTAACTACGGATCTAAATCGACAATTCCTCAGCATTCCATGTTCCTCAGTTCAAGCTTCCGTGCCGCCGGGCCCCCTGGCAAAGAGATGGCGCGAGGTGCTAGGTCGTGTGCAGCGCAGCACAGCCAGGCAAGTTACGTACGAAGGGGAAAACGGTGGATTGCAGGGATCACTCGCACCGACCTGTGCAAGGAAGGACAGGAAGGGCGATGTTCCGTGAACGCCCACGTCGCAGAGGGATAGAAGAAACCAAGCCGCAAGGCGCTGGGGCAATCGCAGGATGGTTGGGTCCTGCGGGGGAGATAGCCAGCGCCGCGCACAGGGCCAAACGGCGGCCCGAGCAGGTGCGGTCTGTCAGAGGATTTGAGTGCGGTCTAATGCTTGTGAAAGGTGAAACCATATGTGTGTTTTAGGTGGAGCACTGGGGCGGCGCGGCGGAGTTGCTTGCTTGCCTCGAGCAGGAGCACGGCAGCGCAGCACGCGCGGAAGCGGTCCGGGAAGGCTGTCTGGAACTCCCCCTGAAGAGTCCGCAAGCTCTTACACTCGCTCGACAGCAAAAGAGATAACAAATTCTGCGTCTCCTGCTGAGTCAGCAGCTGCATGTTTTCTGAGCGCCGACCTCCCCCGCCTCCATGCTACTCGGCCAGCGTCGGAAGGCAGCTTGCGGCGTCGGGTTTGTGGGTCGTCAAGGCAGATACTGTAAATATTTTGTTACTGCGTTAAATTGAATTTCTTAATGCTGCCTGTGCCTTTTAAGCAGGTCTACCCTCTTCAAGGGACGGTACCCAAACTCTATCTGTAACTTAAATGACGCGCAGTAGACCAGTCGCTGTAAATTGAGAACTCAAAGCACGGAGGTCTGCATTGCAATCAATGTCATGCTGGGGAGGATTTCTCCCTGCCGAGGTGCCGTACACGGCAAAGAGACTTCCCGCACAAGATTTGTACTTTTCTTTCTCTGAACCCTTTGCAAGTCAGCTGGACACGGTTGTACCTTGCCGGCTAGTAAGCCGCGCATCCCAGGTAGCCGCCAATTACTCACTAATTCTTCACGGGAGGGGCTTACTACTTACGTGCTAGGGCGAAATGAAGCTCCAGATGTCTCAGCCTCAGGCCTTGCGCGCTCGGCCGCGTGCTGGTGCGCTTCGGGCGCTCCCTCGTCGCCATACGGTGTCGGTATCTGCTGTTGCCAGCGAGCCGCGGCTGGTCGTGCCTTCGTCGCTCCAAGGGGGCAGCTCATGGTCTCCTAACTCTTGGCGCAGCAAGCCAGCTCTACAGCAGCCAGAGTATCAAGACCAGGCTGAGGTCGTCAAGGCGTGTGAGGTGGGTCGGAGCAACACTCACGGCAGCGCCTAGGTGCAAATCGCGGAGCTGAAATAGGGAATGTTTCACGTTACTGACCTAAGCTTGAGATTTCGGAGATACGTAACTATTGCTGAAGTGGGGTCCACATCCTGATTGACTCCTCCACTCCCTTGTCTCCGACAGGAAATTGCACGGATGCCTCCCCTGATCTTCGCTGGAGAGTGCCGCACTCTACAGGAGCGCCTTGCAAAAGCAGCAACCGGCGAGGCCTTCGTGCTGTTCGGTGGTGATTGCGCGGAGGCTTTCAGCCAATTCTCTGCCAACCGCATCCGCGACCTGTACCGCCTGCTGCTCCAGATGAGCACCGTGCTGGCCTTTGGTGGCGGTGTGCCCATCGTCAAGCTGGGTCGCATCGCCGGGCAGTTCGCCAAGCCGCGGTCCGCGCCCACGGAGACTATAAACGGGGTCACCCTGCCCGCCTACCGTGGAGATATTATTAACGGCCCCGAGTTCACCCCAGAGGCCCGCCGCTGCGACCCCTGGCGCCTGGTTCGAGCCTACAACCAGTCCGCGGCCACCCTCAACCTGCTGCGCGGCTTCAGCTACGGCGGCTACGCCGGCCTGTCGCGCGTCTCCCAATGGAACCTAGATTTCATGAAAAACACCGCCGAGGGCCACGCCTACATGGACATTGCCAAGCGCGTGGACGAGGCCATCCAGTTCATGATCGCCTGCGGCATGGATACCAACATGCCCTTCATGCGGGAGACGGAGTTCTACACCTGCCACGAGTGCCTGCTGTTGGACTACGAGGAGGCGCTCACGCGCATGGACTCCACCACTGACCGCTGGTACGGCTGCTCGTCCCACTTCCTCTGGTGTGGTGAGCGCACGCGCCAGCTGGACCACGCACATGTGGAGTTCATGCGCGGTGTTAACAACCCGATTGGCGTCAAAGTGTCCGACAAGATGGACCCCAACGACATTGTGACCCTCATTGCCATGCTTAACCCCTCAAACAAGCCCGGCCGCCTGTCGATTATTGTGCGTATGGGCGCACGGAAGCTGCGGGAGAAGATGCCCGCGCTGATTGAAGCGGTGCAGCGCTCGGGCCAGGTTGTGACCTGGGTCTGCGACCCGATGCACGGCAATACGGAGACGGTGTCGGGCTACAAGACGCGCCGCTACGAGAACATACGGTCGGAGATTGAGGCCTTCTTCGATGTGCACGAGCAAATGGGCACCGTTCCTGGTGGTGTGCATTTGGAGATGACGGGCGACAACGTGACGGAGTGCATCGGCGGCGGCGCCTCAATTAGCGAGGACGACCTCAACTCGCGCTACCACACGCACTGTGATCCACGTCTGAACGCAGAGCAGTCGCTGGAGATTGCCTTCTACGTGGCGCAGCGCCTGCGACAACGTAAGAACACTGAGGGGGCCATCGGTTAGAGGGTTGGTAAGGGGGAGAGGGAACCCCTACCGATAGCTTCGCTCCACACTCTAGTGCATGGCGTGGGTTGAGACGTGCGGTGTGACCCTGATGAGCCCTGGGTCGAACAGACGGTTGCTCACGTTTTATGAGATCATGGTAGTACCGGCTAGCCGTAGGGCACATAGACACATAAGAAGATATCAATGCTGGATAGGATAGGAATGGCATCTGTTCTCCGCACCGGTGACCCACGAAGGAAGTTCGGCTTGTTCCATCATGCTTCACCTTTTCAACGACCGTTACGCACGTTTTATCAGACGGCTTATTCTTGTTCTCTCTTGCAGGACGGGAAAACCTTGCTGCCAAGACACCGGCAGCTGCTGCGGCCAGCTCGTAAGCGGCGCTTTGTAGGTTGGGAACAGGCAGCGGCAGCGGAGTGCAAGTAGCAGCGGCGGCGGCGAGCTGGACGTTCACCGAGTCACCGATGCCGTCGCTCTGTGCGCCCCTTTCATGGACCGTGATGGATCGTTGTAATATTGCGCACGTGAGCCGCACCTTGGCGTGTCGCCGAGCTTCCGCTCGTGTTTCAATCCCCGGCTTTATTGCCCCTGGGTACAGCAAATACAGGTGTCGACTATCTTCGAGATGCCGGTGCACAGTACTGACCCCACAGGGCCCCGGCATCTGACGATCTGCACGACAGTGTTCAGGTGTTAGATGAGCGGGTGGACCTTTGTGACAGGGGCTGCGGCCGTGTAGTATTGCATTGAACATTACCCATAGCCCCGTCGCATCAGCAGGATGGGGAACGACTGCGCGCGTCGTGAACATGATCTGTCGTCACCTGTCTCGTAAACATTTGATGGAAGGGAAGGATAAAGCACGGGGAGTCGGAGTACGGGGAAGCTGGCGTTAGTCGATGATGTGGTACGGTTGCGCAGACGTGCTAGGGGGACTGTGGCAGCTCTACCACGACACATCTGCCTCGCTGTCTGATTGGGGGGGCGGGTTTGACTTGAGTGTCGTCGGTGTTGTGTTTGGCAGGTTGTGATGAGGTTTGTTTGGTATCTTGTTTAGCCTGCACGACCTCCTTGCGTGTGCGGCTGCTGTACTGGCCGTGCTTGCGGAATCGGGTGGTGGGATGTGCGGTTCGGAGGCTGGGTTCCGAGGCGCCGGTGTGATGTTGTTGGCGGTGCTGCGGTGGTGCATTCTATGTAGGTGACGCTTTGAGCGTTCAGCGAGGTTTGGGCAGCCTCTGGACACCGGTTACCTTTCGCCTGTCAGGCGCGCAAGCCCAAGGTGGACAGGTTTGGGGGTGCGGCGTTGGGGGTGCCGTGGACTGTTGCCGGCAGAGCGACTTGCAGGGACTTGTTTAGGGACTCTTTAAAGGTCCTTGGATATCTATTAGAAGAGACTATCACCTGGAATAAAAGGCAATGCGGCATGCGTCAGAATGAGTTGCTGCCGCTAATAAAGGTGGGCGATGACATTATGGGAGTGATGACAGTGCAAGGGAGATATTCCGAGGTAGCAGATAGGGGCGAGTTCGCGTTTAAATATTGGCACCATGGTGCCTCTGCCGAGCCTTCAGGACCCCAGGGGATAGAAGGTGCATGCGGGGACGGTTGAGACCAAGGTCTTGCCCTCCCTCCTGGTTCTGCTCATGCCAACACTAAGCGTGGTTAGAACCGATAGCGGCCCCGCTGCCCGTTGCAGTGCACGCGCGGAGTGTTCTGGTAGCCTTGCCTCCCTGACACGGCGGCTCGGAAAATGCACCCTTATCTGCATCTCAGACAGAATGCCCCATATCATCTTTGTCAGTGAAATCCGTCGTCAAAGCAATTCTTGGCTCTTTTTAATTCTAGTTTTCTCCAGCGGAAAGTCTTGCACAGGTGTTTTCAACATGGGTGCCCTGGTCACCGTTGGTCCGCAATTCTAACTGGAATTCTAGGATGGTAAAAAAACAAGTTCGGTTGCACACAGGCACCAGGGTTGCATGCGCTATTACAAAGCAGGACAGAGTTCAGCAACGCCGTATTCAAGGAACGGCAGACTGCCCACGGCACAGTAATGGCGGTAAACCTCGCTATGCAATCAGTACAGAACTGGACGCATGGGCGAGCCAAAAGCGCAACACCGCAACCTTGGACCAAAAAGCCTACGTACCCGAAGTAGCACGGTATTGTCAGCGCTCAGCTATTAACTAATTCCGTACTAAGCCTGATCCCCCACGCCAAAAGTCGCCAATTAACAAACTATTGGAAAGCTATATGAGGCAACAGGAAGGTAAATTTCGCAACTCCATGGCCCAGCGCCTAATCTGCAAACCTCTACAAACCCTTCACCTGTCACCCTTGTCCGAAACAGAAATCTTTACGCGGCGTGTCTTGGGGCCCCCCATTGCCCTGCGCGGTATAGTGATCGTCAGCACGCCCCGCTCCAGCGCTGCTGCCACTCCGCCCACGTCTGCATCATCAGGCAGTACGAAGGAGCGGCTGAAGCGGTAGCTGGCCACCCGCGAACATGGGCCGCCGTTTCCACGGGTGGACTTACGGGCCGGGGGCTGGGGCCCCGGAGCAGCCGCTGTAGCAGTGGATAGTTGGACACATCAGCCTCGTTAGCACTAGCGGTAGTATGGACCGCCGAGTCCGGACTCACCACCTTCTCTGAGGCGGCCTGCTTGTCGTCGTGGCTGCTGTGCCCTGCCTCCGCCTCCGCCACCGTAGCTGCTGCTGCCTCCCCAGCAGCACTCCTGATGCGCGTCATCTGGCGGCTGCCAGCGATGGTGAGAATTCGGTCGGGGCTGACATCCACGCGGATGTCCTCCGGGCCCATGCCTGTTGCGGGGGAGGTGGCACGGTGGAACGAGAAGGTGGAGGGCTAGGCAGAGAGACCAAAAGGACTCAGCAATAAGGCAGACCGCTGCCATGTCATGAGTGGAGCCTACCTATAAGTATTCATGATGACACATTGGGTTATCGGGTTTTTTTCTTGGCTAGCGATCTTGGGAGCTAGGGAGGGAAGGAAGGCAAGCGGTTGCATACTATAGCGTACTTGCATCCACATCTAGGCATTTGCATCTGGGCATCCGCATCAGGCAGCCACACCTAAGTGCAAGAAATTGCATGATTCTTTGACACATTGCTGCCAGGCTGATGTCATCACCCACAGGCATGCGCCTGCGGATCAAACCCTTAGGCAAATACGACCTACCATACGGGTAAACCTGGTGAGTGAGTATTAACGTTGCTTGCACGTTACAGTATGCGCCCTTCCGTTACTATATGTTAACAGCCTTTTTGATGCTAGCTTTGTATTGATTTCTCCATCAGCTCTACATTGAACATTGCCGCCGTCAACCCTTTGCGCAATCCGCGCTTGCCAAGACGGCTTAACACGGCAACTGGCTTATAATGCCGCGTTTCAGCCAATCATGGCTGACCCTGGCAGTTATGTTGACGGTTTCGGACTCTATTCCCTTTCCTGACATCCTAAGTTGCCGTTCCGGCTTCCAGGCATGGTTTGCCATCATCGGTTAACGGTGCTGTACGGCAATAAAGTAAAACTTGTCAGATGGATAGTGCTTTTGTGAGCAGCGGTTATTGATCGCACTGCATGTGCGATTAATACATTCCGCTTTCCATAGGTTTTCTTTTAGCGACTGAGAGGTATGCTGTGTTTCTTTTAAACTTGGCCGAGTTCTTCAAATGGGCGGGAACGTTCCTCGTGGATCGCTATTTCCAGGAGAATGATGAAACCTGAGCTTAATTCTTGTCTGCCAAAGATTTATCATCCTAGGAATGTCGCTGGCCCATCTATTGTATCTTTGCAACCTCTTTGGCTCCGACGAACACTCAGACTGCACCGTCTGTTTCAGCATTGAGCTCGATGGAACCCCTGCTGCTAAACGGCCTCGTACTCGGAAGAGCACCGCACAGAACCTGGTCGACGCCGGGCGCAAGCGAATTGAAGGTGTGTTCGCAAGCTGCTTCCACCGCGCCTTATACTTGGCCCATTATGTGGGCTCCAACCTCTTTCTTCTTTCATTAGGAAACCTTTACCGTTTCATTCCTTCACCCTGGCTTACCTCGCCACTCTCTCTGGTGCTCACCCACTCCGGTTACGTCAGTCATCCAAAGCTCCTGAAGCCTCTCCTCACCTCCCCTTGATTCGTTAGCTAGCCCGCTCATCCTCTCCTGCTGCTGTCCCCTCCCCCTCCCCCCGGCTCTCACCGCACCCCCTCGCGCTCTTCCACCCTCACAGACCTCCCGGCGCATCTCCTCGTGCTGTGCGGTGGCTCAGAATACTTTTCCGCGCTCTATCGTACATGGCGTCAGGAGCAACCCCACCCCTGCCCTCCTCACCACAAGCCCCTTACCACTGCAGAAACTGCCTCCAGTCGGGGGCCGTTAGAGCTGCCTGTCGCCATCAGTAGCGTCAGCGAGCTCCCCCATGTCCGCGCCGCGATCCGCTTCATCTACACGGGCAAACTCCCCCACGGCGCCGTTGCGACGGACCTCCTCCAAATCCGCCTTCAGGCGACGCGCCTCAAGATCACCGGCTGTGTGGAAAATATCGACGCAGCCATTGCTGTCCGTGTCACCTCGGCAGCTGGCGTCATGGAGCTCTACAACTGCCGGCACCTGCTGCCCCGCGCTGAGGAGGCCCCGCAGTCCATTGCCGAAATCCTGATGGCCTGCCGGAAACAGCTGAACTGCAATTGCAGCGAGTACCTCTCAACTTTGCAATCCACGGCGCTTGGGGAGCTGTTGGTCTGGCTGTTCCCGGATGCCCCGTCCGTCCTGAGCAATCCTGACGTTCGGAAGCAGATGGAGGCGCTGCCGGGGCAGGCAATGGAGGCCCTCCTCCGTGCCGATACCTTCGCCACAGACGACGAGGCTACCGTGTTGCTGATGCTGGCGTACTGGCTGGCTGCCAATACGGACCCTAAGATGACCAATGAGACACGGTTGCGACTGTGTCGGTTGGTGCGTCTCAGTCATCTGAACACGGCCTACCTCCATGGCTTGCTGCCCAAGATCCCATGGCTCCCAATCTCCCGGCAAGAGCATATGTTTTTGTGCCAGTATGTTGCAGAGACGGATAGCTGCCGCCGGATGTCGCTGCTGGCGGCGGCGGCGGGTAAGCACGACTGCAAGTGCCCGTGGTATGCGGCACCCCCGCGGCCGCAGGCGCGCGCCGACGTAGGCCATCCCTACGAGTGGACGATCAAGGAGGAGGACCTCGCGGCCTATGTGGATATGGCTACGATCAAGATTCCGGGCGGCCTATCCGGGTCTTTTGCCAATGGCGCGTCGCGGCTTGTGGCGCAGGGCTTTGAGTGGTATCCAGGCGCTCTGTGGTTTAACTCGAACGGCGTGCCTGAGGTCGCACTGAGCTGCGCTGTACCGGCCCCATTCGCCGTCCTCACGACCGCAAATGATGTGGTTGGAGTGGCTAGTGTCCACGCACAGGTGGCGGTTTTCCGTTGGAAGAAAGTTGCTCAGAAACAGAATAACTGCAACCGTCTGTATACAAGAGGCAGCGCCGCGGTACCCACGGCAGCGGCAGCGCCGCCACGGCGAGAGGTGGCTAGCAGCAAGATGTACGGCAGTGCTGACGTGGTGAGCATTACAAGTGGGCAGGCCGGGGGTTCCAGCTGGCGTTTGACTGTGTTTGGCAAGGGAGTCGAAAAGGCACCGGGGGCGTCGGCACGATTAATGCAGGAGCTGGCGCCGTACTTTTACGACCGCAAGCTAAGTGGTTCTGTCACATTCTTGGCGCGTTGTTGACAACGATTGTAAACAAGGACTGTCAGCTCCTCTTTCCTCTCCTGGAAACACTTTGGCGGTGTTGTTGTCCCCCCTTGTTAATGTGGGGACTGATCTGTAGAAAAGCTGCGGACATACGCGGTGGAGCCCCTCGGGGCCCCTCGGGGCGGTCTGTCCATTAGGTTCCGCAGAGGGGGGGAAGAGAGGAGAGAAGGGGCATGCTGTCGCTCACCTTTGGAACGGAATAATTCTATCATGACCACGCAACCCCGCGTACTTGTGACGCAATATGATGCGTTCCGGAGGGGACGAAAGGGTACACTCTTGCACCGGGCGCTGAGTTTGTGTCCGTGTGTATGTCTGTGTGGCGACATTGCTTCCTGTGATGGGGGTGCGAATTGTAGTTGTGTGGATGCAAGCAGCTGCCAGCCGGCCGCTTAGGGGGAGATTATTCGGGGCCGAGTGATACGAGGGGCTCCGCACTGGAGGGGGACTGATTCTCAGCAAGAGAAGAGTGAGAGGCGGTCCCACGGGGGTGGAAGTGGGGGATGGTGACGACGGTACTGAGAGGCTTGGGGTGTCGGGTTTGCACGGCTTGTTTGGCTGTGAGCCCCGGGGGTAGGTCCTTTATGAGGCCCATCCTCGCGCGCTTCTGGTGGAATCTGATATAGTCCTCGCGAGGCGCTGTTTTTTCTGCTACGTGCAGGTGCGGGAGTATCGCGGAACCAGCCAGCCAGCTAGGTGGGTGGGTGGGTGGGTGCGTGCCTTGGACCCGCGTGTTCCCCCCATGTTCGGCAATGAGGTGGGGTATGACTTCCTATTAAGAAAACCACCTAAAGACGCGCCCATCCAAGGCGTGTACATTCTACAGAACGTTTGCAAAGCTGAATTTTGCGCTCCGAAACCCTAGGGAACCCTCCAGAATCATAGACAACTTACGTTTCCCAGCGTTTCCCAGCGTTACGTTTCCCAGCGTTACGTTTCCCAGCTCAGCGTTCGTTGCTCAATTGTACAATGCGACAATTATTATTGTGTTGTACGATGGTGTAGTTATCGTGCGTCCATCCAAGGGCGGTTTCGGAGTCGTCTACCGCGGAAAGAGCGCGGGTTTGTTATGTTATTGTTTTTATTATTAGTTATTGTTAATGAGGCGTGATGTTGCTTCCTGGCGGGCTAGAATAGTTGGTGTTGGTGTTGTGTCGCTTCCGTGCTTAAGTGCGTTTGTTGACTCTCGCAAGTATGTTTACGGACGGCACAGCGAAGTGTTTAGACAGGGTTGGGATGTTGATAAGGTTTATCTTATGTTGGATGTTGCTATTTTCTGATCACTCGGGTGTCAGCCCAATAAGGGCCGGGTTGTGGAGTGAGCTCTTGTCCGTAAAGTGCCCGTTACGTTACACCGAGGTCTGGAATTAACTGCTGTCGACGCTCCCTCTGGGACATCCTCGCTTGTGCCTTGTGGGATTTACGCATCACCTCGTAATGTTTTTGCGCCGATGATGCGCCGATTATGTTCGAACAAGCCAAGTAACCGACCTACAGTTGAAAGTCGGGATATGTAAAATACTTTAAATCCATAAAGTGTATGCGGATTGAGCATGCGTGCCACGCGCTTGCTTTGATTCCAGTAGATGGCTGGTACTCTCGCCGAGCGAGGGTCGTTGGTTGGTTGGTTCACACCAAAAGGTTAAACGAATTCCGGTTTCGCTAACGATATCAATTCCTCAATTTGCGCGGCGTCGGCCATTTCTGTAGCTCTGCGGTTACGGCCTTAGCGTCTCTCTTACTGGCAAACGCAGCGAAACGTATAGTGCCAGGCGTGGGAATCAATATTTTTAGGAGGAGCAAGTCAATTGCTTTTTGCTTCATACCATACAATTGATCGGTGTATATTTATTTCTCCAGCTGTAAAATGTCGGCAAGCTTACACGACGTGGCGTTTTTGCTTGCGGACTCGTTCTTGAACGTACTGCCTCAGCTACTTCGTGCCTACTGGATATTGGCATCGGCCTCAGTATTCGTGACTATCCTTCCCATTCCTGTTCCGCGCGCGTTCAAGTAAGTCGGCGCAGGCTGAGTAAGCCATTCCTACCACCTTGGTCCATAACGCCGACGCCGACCCCAAGTTTGTAACGCCGTGCTGAGAGAAGCGATGGTAATTTTGGAAACGCTTATCGCGTTAATTGCAGAGCTGCTGTTAAAGTGGCTGCTGCCCGTGGCAAGCTATGGTATGACCGCCCCGACGCACGCGCGCTGGGCATCCTCAAGGTGAGCACCTTCCCCAAACCCACATGCAAAGGGGAACACCCTTCGTTGGGCAACGACGCCACGTTTCTTGCAGCGCACGTTGCACGCACACGCACACAGCCGCACGCAGCAACTGGGGCAAACTAGTTGCCGCATGCCAATATGCTTATTCCTGTCGGTATGCATCAATTGCTAATGCGTTTCGTCTGTGTTGCTAGCTATTAGAAGCAGATAGAGCTTACGGGGGAACCGCGTGCGAACTGAGGAAGTTCAAGTTTTGCGAGCCCCCAGCCATGGAAGATGTAGAGCATGTACTCTTGGAGTGCCCCGCATGTAGCACATGCAGGGGTTTTCTTCGTCTTATTACTCGCCCCAGCATCCACAAACACTACCTTACAGCTTTGGCATTTCCCCCATCGCGGCGCAAAGCATTAAAACACACCATTTCGTAATATGTTGGGGTTCCCCTAAAGGGAAAGAACAAGAAGGGAAAATCGTCCCATCCTGGGATTGCCTTGTTTAGTTCCCCTTTAGGGGATGAACCAAAGGGGAAGACAAGGGGGACAAGACGCATAAAACGTAGTATGAAACGGCATAAAACGTAGTATGAAATCTAAGCCAAATCTTTTGGCGCCATCCACATGCCCTGCTACCCTTGCTAACCCCCATTTCGCTTCGGGGTACAACTCATGCGACAGGACGTGTCGGTTCCACAGCAATTTTTCGAGCACTTTTACCTGATTGGGGCATTAGCCAACACGGTGCTGCTCCAGGTCTACATCTTTGTGTGCTGTGAAGACCAGAACGGCAGCACTCTCAAGGTGCGCTGATGGGCGGGGGGGGGCGTTTCACTCCCTCAGCAGTCACAGCCGTGCCCATCACAACTTTTCAGTTGTTTTACAATCTCGCCATAATCCCCCACGTATCCCGTACATGTACAAACACACGACACGACACGATACCTGCCGCAGCGGGACTCCCTGTTGGCTCTGCTGCTCTTTGAGCTGCACGTGCTACGACGGTACTTCGAATCGAATTACGTTATGCACTACCCGGAAAGTGAGTTTGGGGCGCGTCGGCGATTGACATGGCGGTGGGTTCATGAGAGTCTCTTTGGCCGTTGTGTGGTGGTTAGCAGCAGTTAGCGGTTACCTGATCTGTCGAAAGGAACTAACCCACATGACCACAAAATCAGAGGCTGTGTGCCTGGGGACGGGCGGGGAAGGGGAGTAGCAGGTGCGGATGGTCCACGTCTCTATCCGTTCTTGGCAGTAATTAAGCACAGGGCAGGGAGAGGTGAAACTCGTTTTGTGCAAGCGGGGCCGTCGGCTGACACCGCCAAAGGGGCCCGCTGTGTAGGTCTTCCATCTACAGGAAAAGCGGAGGGCTTGAGGGCTTGAACAAATCACGCAGGTCTTGCGGTGGGCTACCTTCCGTATTCAAAGCAGTACTTGAAGCATCCTCTTCATTCCATACCCGGAAAGACCCTACTCACCACCCCCAACCCCCACAACCCACAACCCACTCCCGCTCTCGGTCGCTGACGCAGGCGCCCGCATGCACCTGCTGGCGTACCTGTACGGCCTGTCGTATTACGTCGCCGTACCGCTGACGCTGCTTCCGACAGCCGTCCTAAACATGGATGCCCTCCGCAGCGCTTGGGATCTGGTGCGTACGACAGAATACGACTCTGCGTGGGCGTTAAAGTCTCCCTACCAGACCCGGACCTCACGTGTTCCCTTCGTTGAGAGTGTCCGCGCCCGCCCGTATCCCGGCTTCCATCCATCCCCCTAACCACTTCGGTTCCCGAACTTCTTCAGATAGACTTCAGACTTAGGGTTTTGCGGTGTCCTGTGGTTTCACTCCCTGGGCCCTGTGTTTGGTCCCCCTCCGACCCGGGTGGTTCAGGCTGTTGGTGCGGGTAAGGAGCACTGGCAACTGGTTGACAAGCGGCTGTGGGAGGCCGTGGCGACACCCCACCCGGGCCTGCCCCGCCTGATTGCGGTAAGGGGGGGAGGCCCCGGAGGGGAAAAGGATGGCGGGGGTTAAGAAAACCCGGGAGCTCTGAAAAGGAGGGACTCTCCTCTCCTGGGGGGAGGGAGAGGGAGGCGTTTGGGCACCGGGAGCGCGGATGAAGTGCCTCATGCCCCGTTGGTCACCAACCTCGTTCGCGCCCCGCAGTATGTCTACATTATGTGAGCTATTCCTGGACGGCTTAGCTGGTCGAAAGAATCCTAACCATTTCAACGAACACGCACCAATCAATCTGCTAACTGAAACCAACCCTCTCCAACTGCTTTTCGCGATTGAAAACGCATCGCGTTCTTCAGGGCGTGGCGTTATTCCTGTTCGCCAGCGGCCTGCAGTACTGGAGCCATGCCGTACTGGGTCGGCTATCTAGGGAGGGTGGTAAGCGCGTGCAGGAGGCCCAGATGGCCGACACCTTGTTCCCTCCCCGCGCCGGAAACAGCACCGGCGCCGGCCCAGCCGATCAGCGCACTGGGACTGCAGGGGGTGCAGGAGCGGCTGGTGTAGAGCAAGTGGATCAGAACCCGGATGGCTCTCTGGCGGCGCCCAAGCTGACGGACGTGTACAGCATCCCGCGGGGCGGGCCTTTTGAACTGGTGGGCATGTGGCCGTGGGGTTGTTTGATGTGTACGGCATACACGTGCCAGTGCGGGTCCCTCCGCTGGCCCCCCGGGGGTTTCACTTCCGCTCCAAACCCTCTGGTCCACGTCACCAATGGTCCTGGTGTGACCGAGTTTGCCCGGTGATTTGATCTTGCAATACGATTGCCTTATCCTTTGGCGCACCTCCCAATGCAGCCGCTCTCCCTGGCTTCTCTGCTTCACATTTCCATCCCCCCTGGCAGTTTCAGGTTCATTTTCCGTCCTGATCCTCCACGTGGGTTTCCTTCCTTTACTCTTGTTCAATTCTTTGGTCAGTTTATTTCGTCACTGCATATCCATTTCTGCCCTTCCTGCTCTGCCCTGGTGGGCTTACCTTTTCTCCTTTCCATTTCCCCCTCCGGGGCCCTGGCCTCCGTTCACAGTGCGAGTGATGGCCCTCCGGCGCAGGTGAGCTGTCCCCACTACCTAGGGGAGATCCTGATCTACGTGGCCCTGGCGCTGGTGACCCGCGGGTCGGTGGGCACACTGCTGATTGCCGCCTGGGTGGTGAGTTCGGCAGAGATCTGAATGGTGTCCGGGCAAGGATGGGTGGAGGGGGGTTGGGAGGTCGGCATTGCCGCGCTGAGTAGCAGCGGCTCTCTCGCATCTCTCGTTATCTTGTTTTGTGGCTTGTCTTGTGACTTGCGTCGCTCGCGTTCTAAATGAAATGTGGTCGCGAGGTTGGGTCAGACAATGCTCTGGTGGTGGGCGATCGGTGATGGTGAACATATCAAGCGTGCTCCCATGTACGCGCATGGCACGCATTTCGGCGTGCACGCCCTTGACATCGTCTGTCTCCCAGCCTGCCTGCATGCATGCATGCCAGACTGCCAGACTGCCTGACTGCCTGCCTGAGATTGGCATACAACCCAACCCTCTCTCGCACAACCGTACCAATGCTACCCATGGGGAGTTGTTACTTCGTCGGAACGACCGGATGTTGCTCTTCGTTAGCGTCCCCACTGCCTTACAACTTCGGCCATACTATGTCATCTCGCCACCATCCTCACCCTCATTCCCTTGCTTGCTAAGTGTCCCACCCGCACCTTCTTAATCCCCACCTCAATGCTGGTGGCCATCGTAACGACCCCCGCAGTTGCTAAACCTCGTTCTCGCGGCGGACGCCACACAGCGCTGGTACCACCACCATTTCCCCGACTACCCAAGGCGCCGTGCCGCTCTCATACCACTGCTGTTTTGAGCAGCTCGGGGTGTGTACGGCGCGATGCACACGGACATATGCCCCACGTCGCCTTACTTTCAAAACCATATCCGTACAGCGGGCAGAAGGCAACGCGATGGTATTGGCGCCTCCCTTGGGACGGGGAGCGCCAGAGCGCTGGTGCGATTGGATGATGTTTTGAAGCATGATTAGGGCTGTCTCTGAGGAGCGTTTGGATGTGGGTCCTGTGTGGGGCCCTACGGAATGCGAAATTCTGTATTCGAGGGATTGCAGGGAAGGGGTGGTGTAGGCACGGTCCTGTTTTGGAGCATTTTTCCCTTTGCTTCGAAGGCTTCTTGTCTTGGTGAACAGCTCCAGAACCCATGATGAGTTTAACTTCGCCAAGTAAATGTAATGAGCGAATTCATGAAGTGGACGGACATTCTCTGCGAATCAGATTTTGGCATGTAGGCTTCGTGATGTGTCATTGCCTGTGTCCTGTCACTATGTTGTGTTGTGCTTTGCCACGTGGTACAACATGGGTTGATACCGTCTTGCAACGTCCGTTGCGCCGTGGCGTGGGACGTGATATGGGCATCGGGAGTTGGTGAGGAGGGGTCACTGAACGTTTTTTGAGCGCAAGCCCGCGCCGCCGCGCGGAGTGGCATCGGTCCATCCGACTCCTAGGGCCCCGGGCCCCTGTTTGCGGGACTGATAATCTGCCTGCACGCCTGTGCACTTACATACCCCGTGCACCTAAACTTCAGGTTTCAGCTTTGGCCCCGGTCCTAGAGTTACTAGAGTACTTAAACGTCAGTAGCAGAGAAAGTAGCAGAGAAAGGCGACGTGCGAGACCAGCAGGCTGTATGTGCCCACGGGTGCTCTTGTGGGAAATGCCGGCAGTGCCCAGAGGAGCATTTGGCAGGCATGCTTCGGCGAGGTCCAACTTATAAAGGGAATTTGTTATCAATACAAATGGGTAAAGGCATTGCTTTCGAAAATTCCGTTAACCTCTTCCCGCACAGCCTGGCCTAACCCGCCATACAGGTATCTACTGAAGCAGAGCATGGCTTGACACACGCATGCATGTCTACAGCAGCACGGGGTCAACATCTAAAGGCGGAACCCACAGCGATAAGAAAACTATGTTGAGTCGTCAGGGATGCGGGGGGGATTCGACGTTGCAACCCCGACGCATTTCCTGGGCCACTCGTGAAAGCCCAGGAATCACAACATTTGGTGGTTGTTGCGACGTTGCTACAACGCACAGTAAAAACCTTCGTAATCGAGCCCCGTCCAAAACATCGCAGTCCAGTATCGCCTCTGCCCGCTTGCAGGCGTAACCCAATAGGGGACGTGTACCGGCGACTTTCAGATTACCCCTGGCAATATTGCAAGGGTTGTCCTTAAAACCCTGCCCCACGCACGCAGACAACGCCACCACAACCCGCAACGCATCCCGCCAGTTTCGGTGGAATACGTAACAGCCAGGCAACTGCGATACGTAGCCAAATGGCAGGCGTTCAGCGTACGGTGTCGAGAGGTTCACAGGTACTGCAGATTCCATTCGATCTGGGACGCCCCGGTAACCGCCATGCATCGTACGGACATGCCACCAAGCCGTAGAAACACGTAACCACCAAAACATCGACATCACCGATGCTAGGAAACCGGGATGAGGAGAATTCTGTCCTGCAGTGCGCTGGCTGCACCAACATAATTACCTACAACCAACGACAAATAGTAGTTGGGTACTAGATACGTTTGGTGGCCCTCTGCCCAGCTTCTCGAAAGGATGAGATTGCATTCCCAGGCATTCACTCCCTAATGGCGGTCCATACGCAAATCCGACTAATACGCGAATAACAAACCAACTAAGGTTCACAGGTAAAGGACCAGACCGAACCGGTGAACGCCTTAAGAGTGTTGCATGGAGTCATGTTTGTGTTCACAGATAAGATGATGATGCAGAGCCGGTCCTTACCCGTGCGCAAGGTGGCCGAGGGGAAAAAGGCGTGTTTATGTCGCAAGCACGGACAAGAAGCACAGAGATAGCGGCCCAAATTGTCGTCTCCTATGCCGGCAAACTCGCGCGGATGCGGCGTCTGCTCCAGGCCGCCAGGATTGTCAACAGTCATGTGACATCACCACTTGCGAAACTTAAGGCATATTTAACCAACCCCGTGCAGGATGGTGTTGGTCAGTGTACCATACCGTGCCATCAAAGGCCTAAAGAGTACATCGTGTGTGGTCGTCGACATGAATTACGTAAACACCATAAGAACAAAAGGAGCCGACAGGACGCCGTGATCGCCAGCTTCACCACCAGGCACGCACCAAAACCATACCTGCCGACAGCTACAAGGGCAAGAACCGTGCATGTACCCATGAGTCGGCTGGCACCTTCGCGGGCGACCAGCCCGCTACCTTGTTACGTCCCATAGCCCGTCCCCCATCCTTCTACTCTCAACTTTCCCTTACCACCCTGGAACTGCCAACCATGCTGTTTCCTATCGCTTCGGGCCTTTGGGGTGTGTCACCCCACCACTGCAGGCCTCTTTCGCAGCGTGCATGTCTAAAATGAGCAAACCATCATGCGCAATGGTGTAACGTTTCCTGGGTTCAAGTAGATGTTCAAACTCCGCGAGCCATTACGCCACCATCAGCATTAGCAGCAACCACGGGGAGCTCGGGAACGACTGACCGACGGTAACTTGTCGGGATCGATGGGGGTGCATAACTAGAGAAATTGTCGGGACCGATAAGAATCCCATCCCGAAACGCAATTTGCACTTCGTCGACTCGGGCCCGCCACATCCTCCAGCACGTAGACAGGGATCCACTCTGGTTCCCGAGGGGGTTCCTCTGAGCAGCATTCCGCTCACCATCGGTCGCCCGGGTCTACGGCAGCAATGCGCTGCATCGCGCGCAAGCCGCTGCCTCCGCCAGTATGCGCGCTGGATAACCCGCGCAACTCACAGCGAACATGAGAACATGATCACTTTGCACGTGTTCTAAGGACCCTTATCCAGGCTTCTCCCCTGGACGGGGGACATACCCACTGCATCGAAGCAAGCAACAATGCGAAGTAACACGCTGTGGCGCTTGACGGATTGGATTTCAGCGTCAAAACATTGCATATTCTCAATGCGTCTGCGCCAGTAGTCAAAAAAGAATCGCCCTCAGGATACAAGGTCATGGGATGCAAACTCTGGGCATCGTGGGCAAGCAGTGTTTCCCCTGCCGTCCTAGGTGACTGCACCCCTTGCAGCACTAGTTACTGGCGAATGCGCTGCTGCTCCAGGTGGATAAGGCCTCGTTACCGTTGGGTGAAGGTTTTCATGCATCGTACTGCACGTATTGCCGGAGTACGCCACCCTTGATGCCCGTCCGCTTAAAATCCTTGATCAGAAGGTTTAGCCCACCGTGCTTCAACAGCAGCTCGACCTGCAGGCACAAAGGATGTATTAAGAACCGGCGTACATCTAAAAGTTTGAAGACTCATTAGGGACAAGGTTTTATGATGAAGAAAAAGCTTTGGGTGCGTTCGTGTTGCTAGGGCCTTGTTAGCGTCATATTGTTCATCCTACTTCCTTTCTGCCTCTCACCTCGCTGTCCTCCATTTTGAGCAGCTCCGGCTGGTTGCAAGACCGCATGTCCAAGAACCGCAAGCTGCCGAATGCGGCTCCTCGACGCACGCTGCTGAGGCCGCTCATCAGCGCATCCCGCAGTCCCGCGCTCTCACCACCCACGTTGGCCTACGAATCGACAGGCGTGATGCAAAGCTCAATGCAGCACGAATGCGACGAAGACAAGGGATGGAGCGGCAAGAGAAGCATGGCGCGGCGTAACCAAGAAACCTGACCAGGGAGCTCACGGCTCAGAGGCGCTCGTGCATAGCTCGTTAAACCGTGGCGAGAGCTGCTGCCGTCAAACCCTTCACCCAGTGACGCGACCATCCCCTGGCGCACCGTCCTGCTACGTCCCTGCTCACCCCCATGAAGCAGCCCCGAAGGTCTAACCGCTCCAACGTCTTGAAGCCCTGCCGCAACGCGCCCGCCAGCGCCACCAGCGCGTCGCCATGAGCTGGCACGGCACGGGAGGTCCTGCCGCCGTTGGGCCCGGACGTGTCAATCAACAGGTGGTTCCAATCCGAAGTGTCCTGGGAGATGGCGTTGCCGCTGCCCTGGACCACACAGCCCAGACTCAGCTCCTGGCGGGCGGAGTAGAAAACGGGGAGAAGCAGAACAGCAGTGCGCAATGAAATGAGCCGGGAGACGGAGGGCATTAATTGCCGCACCGCAGGGATGTGACCGTGGCTGACAACGGAACGTGAATCCAAACCGAGCGACGGACAGAGCAACACCCAAGATGCCATGGATGCTATGGACGGTCAAGGACGGAAATACTTCACTGCCCGACGTCCAGCCTACCAACAGGCCCCAAGAAAACATGCTGACATGGCAACGCTTGAACCAACAGCCAACGCCACAAACGGCGCTAGAGCCGTCACCCCGGCGCGGCTACGAGTGCCCTGAGCCCAGAGCCCGTCCACACCGCAGGCCCACTCGCCGACACGTTCTCGCTCTCGCGCAACCCACCCGGATGCTCCCCGCCCTTGTGAGCTGATCGCCGATGAGCGCCTTGCCCGTCTGCCAGCCAAATCTGCAGCACTGCGCCCGCAACACGGTGAGCCCCTTGTGGCTCATGAGCTTGACGAGAGCGGGCGCCGCCCTATCACCCATTTCGGGATTATAGCTGATGTCCAGGTCACGTAACCCCTCGGCCGTCATGCAATTATCCGCCAAGGTAATGGCCGAGGCGCCGTCCATGCCAACCTGCGAAATGGGTGCCGCAAAGGTTCCAAATAAAAAAAACGGCCGTGGCATAAAACAGGACAGTCCGGCGCACATATCATGTTGCATGGCACATGGTGCAGGGTCGTGACGGACAGGCACGAGAGCAATAAGAGGAAGCAAGGAAAGGCCGGGCAAGACAGGGTCGGGAGGTGAAATGTGAATTAGTGTGGTAGTCCCTGCGCTAACTTTCCCTCGTTACCGTCCTGGCAAGCAAGCTCCACGCTGCTGCGTACCTGTCTAAGCTTGAGCACCGCGAGAGTGCGATTGCCGGCCAGGGCCGGTGCAAACGCCACAACGCCATCGGGTCCAAGCTGGGGGCGAAAGTGACGACAAGGTGCAGGTCAGGTCAGACCCAGGCCACGTGTGCTCATCATCTAGATGTTGCGCAAAACCGGTGTTGAAGCGGATTGAGCAACAGCCCACTCCTGCTCATGCAACTCGTCATAGCACACGGCTAACGGCATGATATGGTTCACGCTTGCGTTATATGGCCCTCCCATGTGCATGCGTTCTGTTCCTAATCACAGGTCAAATCATGACGCTCAACGAACAGGGCAGACACCAGCCAGCACAGAGCTTGCGCTGCTGCACACTTGACCGGTTAGACAACGCAGCCAAACTGTACCTTGTTGTACGACAGGTCCAAGTGCGTCAATACTCGATTGGTCGACAGCAACGACGCGTAGGCGGATACCGAGGTGCGACCCAGCGATCCACCCGTGCCTGCGCACAATACACATGGAGAAATACACGGGCGGCAGGGCTTCTCCTTACACCATGACATTTACCAATAGACCACGCCACCCTCAGCTCTGGACCGAGGCCAGCGTAATAGGATAGGACAACGCCCAGTCAAGGTTGCTGGCGGATGTGGGTCCCAAGCGATAGCCCACCTGGGATTGATGCCAGAAGAGGGTGGCGGCCGACCGCTAGGTGCCTTAACGCCGGGTGCCCTGTCAACCCCTTGGCCAAGGTGGTCAGACCGTTGGGTGTCACGTCCGTCTCGGCAGCTGTATACACCACCAGCGATTCCAGCTTAGGGCAAGACTGTGGAACAGAAGCGGGTACGCAGACCGGCAGGCGAGCAGCGCTGAACGGGCGTACACGCATTAAGCAGTACCACTCATCGCGTGAGAGCGGAGAACATCGCCAGAGGCGTGGTACTTGGGAGGTATATGCCGATTAACGCACGGAGCTCCCATTTCTATACGCCCTCACCATCGAGGGAAGGGCCCCAGTACGCGAGGTTTTGCTGTGGAGATGATCGGGGCTTTCCCTCATCTGCACGTCGTCGTGATGGAGCATGCCAGCGATATGTGACGGCGGCCGCTGGTGGGGTCATTCGGGCCTCATAAGCAAGCGCAACCAAGTTATCACCCTCGACATGTTGCCCATCTAGGCTGCTGGGTATCAGCAACGTGACTGCTAGAAGGTGACGGCGGATAATAAGTCCACGGCCTGCATCTTCTTCTCCCCACACAAATCCGCGCTTCTGCTCTGGCGATGCTATAACATGACCCGTGGGTCACCTCACCTTGACTGCATCCGACAATAACATGAGGCCGGTGTCCCGGATTCGCTCCACCTCCTTGCCTGCGGAGTCGCGCTTGGGCATGAAGCGCAGCGAGGCATTGGAGATGATGATGCCACGCTCCAACAGCTTGCGGCCCTCATCTGTCTCACCCGTCACCACGGCCCTGAGGCACATCAGTGGAACAGCAAAGTGAGCATGGCCCGAAGACGGACGGACATAAGTGACCATAGTCTCGTCTCGGCACACCGCAGGCGTATAGCGCCTACTGGTAGGCTACAAGCGCCCGTGCCAGATGAGAACAGGAAGAAGGCAACGGGTTTAGCAAAGGGAGATGGGGAGACGGGCAGGCAAGCGAATATCATCCAGCCTCCCCTGAGCCAACCCCCCTCACACACATGGGATCTTGCAGCTACGGCTGTCAGCCGCAACAGCTGCGGCAGCAGCGTGAAGTACACAGCACACAGCGGGGAGCAGCTACAAGCGCACCGCACGCTCTATGCGCGCAAAAAAGACTCACCGCAGGATCATGGCCTCGCAAATTTCGTGGTACAGCGCCGTGCGTAGTGTCTGGTTAAAGCGATTGATGCCCAGCGTCCGCTCCGCGAGCGCCATGATGTAGTCGCGGTCCTTCTCCATGGTCGCCTCGGCGTTGCGAACATCCAACATCTCCACCACTTGCTGCTCGGACCAACAGACATGAGGATTAGGAGCGGCGTATAAATAACGCAGACGGTGCGTGATGCTGAGAGCATGTTGCAGTGAGGCACACAAAACGTGATGCAAGGGTGGAGATCATCCACGCGGCCACGATGCATTATTTCCACGCGGCCACATAAAGGAAAGCCAGCAGGGGAAGCGTTAAGCAGGGCGGTACCGAAAAGATATGCAGCAGGATGGAGTCAAGACATTGCCTGCCAGACGGCAAACGTTGACCAGTCCAAGATGCATACGTCTGCAAACATCATTCTAAGAAAGGCAAAGCTTAATACGAGGGATACCGCAAAACCTACCCTGGTGAATAGCGGCAGCAAGATATCAACTTTCGCAGTCGAGTCGAAGGAATCGGTCATCAGGTTAATCTCGCGGTTTAACGACAACGCTGTCAGCGCCTCGAACAAGCACCACACACGCCTCACGGACAGCGGGTTCCGCCAGGGCGCCATGGAGAAGAGCACACCACCCTGTACTCACACAGGCGAGGTGGAGAAAGATACAAGGAAACGGCGGAACGTCAAGAGAACTGCTCCATCGGGCAGCGGACATTTCTGGGGGTGGTGCAGCGGTTCGACAAGGATAGCACGTGGTGTGGGAACTGAACACATCAGGATATCGTTGGGGATGGGTGGCCTTAGATATCTTAAAACCATTCTTATAATCGATGCTGTGTAGCTTATCACCTTCGTCCCCTTCGTCAGGAAAGCTGGTCGCACACACGTGCAGCGTAAAGCTTATGCCATTTCCGGCAGTCCATGCTGCGATTCTCATTCTCAATCCCCCGGTTCCGCACATCTGCTCCCGGTTCCCCCATTAGGAGCAGCTACGAACCCCTTCCCCTTGCCCAGGACGCATGGAAACTAACGGCACCCAACGCGCCGCAAGCGCCAGAGCATCGCATGCTGCATCCCCCTACCCTTGACCTTGACTCCGCAGGTCCCAGGATCCCGACCTCCCCCCACCTTGGCTGCCTCAATGACCCCCTTGAAGTCCGCGTCCGGGTGCTCCGTGAAGTCACCCACAAAGTGCTGTGTCACCGCAAAGATGTCCACCCAGTAGAACACGGGTACAAACAGCCGCCCGCCGTCCGTCTCTGGGGTCATGTCGCCGGCACGAGTGCACATGGGACGGAGCACGCAGGGCGGATGAACTCTGCTGTGCTGCTTCTGCGGACCCCCGGACCTCCCATGGAAAACCCCCATTGACTCATGTCCCAGACCGACTTCAAGCCAGCTCATGTCCCAACCGCAAACCGGGTATGAAAGGGGGGCTTCGCCTAAGCTACAATCCAGGCCTAGGCTACAACCCGAGGGCTATGGGCTCACTCCTTACTTCGAGTGGGGCTCAACCTAAGTTGATTCCCTCTAGCCGATCTGCATTCCGCAACTTAGCTTCGACTAAATTCCAATTGGACTTCATCTCAACTTCACCTCAACTTCTTTCTGGCTTCATCATGGACTCGGCTTCGTAAACAGCTAATCAGCTCAACTTAAGGCTTCGGCTTAACAGCGGGGCATTCATGCTGCTTCAATCTCCCCGAGCACCCGCCACAGGGCGCCAGCAAGGACCCCATTATCAGGCACGCCCTCGCTGCTCACTTCCGGTCTGCGTTCTGGATATGCCCACGGACAGCTACAGCTGTCCATCATCATTAAAATGAGGAACCTGATGAGTCGCAGCCTTGCCAGGGTCCGCGTGTTGCCCTTTCCTATACTCCGATACTCCCTTTCCAAGGTTTATATTCTTTCCCAACCCAATTCTGTATCCCAACCCCCCCCCTTTTCCCTTCCATACCCGGCAGCTCGTCGTAGTGCTGCAGGATCATGCCCACGAGGTCCCCGAGCTTGTACTGCCAGCAATGGCTCACGAAATACGTTACGGGGCCGTAAATCTGTGGCCATGTAGGTTCGGTGGATGCACAAGCAACATGCCGAGCATGAGCAGTAGAACAGCACATCCCACATTTGCACACAAGGTGCAGCGCGGCGATTATGGCTCAGTTGCGCCACGTCAACAGAGCACGGATCTGATTTTTAGCTGTTTAAACACAGCAGAAGGTGCATTTACGAAGCGTTGGCGCTGATCACAAAGCGTCAGAACACGTTCAGAGTTCGGCGGCTACTATTTTACCGAATACGCTCTCCCCTTTCCCACGATCCGGCGAATGTCGGCCTAGACACGGATGGTGGCTACTGCACTTCCTTGACAAGAGCTGTCACATACTCGCGTACCTTTTCCCCCGATGCTCGCCGCCAGTATTCGTGGTTACCGTCCCGCTCATGAAGGTCTGCTGTGAAGCAGTCCCCTTCAACGCCCTCCAGCCGGCATGCGCCCGCCAGCAGTGCCCACAAGTAATTCGTCTTCATCGACTGTTGAAGGGGAAGGGAAAGCCGCACAGCCAAGCCAAGGAACTCTAAGGAAAGGTGGTAAGCAGGTCACTTGTAATTCGCACCCCCTGACGCATCCATGCGCATGTACGGGTATTCTGTCCAGACCCCTCAAACAGAGGCGACATCGAACACCATGTGAACGGACAAAAAGCAGAGCAAAACAGGCAATTATCACGCTGCCCTCTACAAACCTGTATAACCGCTTAGGCTGGTTTCCCATGCATATTTGTGGATATAGCTTGCATGTGTCACTTCCTCTACTTCTAGCTGATACAGTAAAAGGCCCAGGAGAGAGACGCGCAGGCCCTAACGACCAACGCAAGTTAAACCTGAAAAAGGAGACTGGGGCAGTTCCCACACAAGCCACGTTCCCGCCCAGTCGCCCAGCTGCCAAGCTTCTTAAGCAACTTTACCTGCGCCACGTTGCTGTATTTTTCCCATTCCGGAACCAATCTAAACCCAAACATCAGCAAGGCATAGGTTCCGCTAAGAGGTGAAGCACAAGGTGAAGCACGATAAGGCGTATGCTCGTTCGTAGCCGCACCGAAACCACAATGCTAACCCAGGGTGCCAGGTGCCTTAGCTCCGCTGACTCGAATCCTCGAATTCAGGGTCCCCCCACGATGGGCAAAGCAATAATTGGCCTCAACCTACCAAGCTTTCCGGTTTAACGAAGTTGGACATGACCTCCGCCACGCTGCGGTCTCCCAACAGGACCTACATGGCGGTTGCACAGCACGGTGTCGCAGCTGTCAGGACCACAGGATCAATATTTGCACGCCACAGAACAACAATAGCACGCGCCAATGGCCATGCAACCGAAACCCAGATTAACAACCTACAAACCATTGGATTCGGAAAGAAGAGCAGTAGCCCTCCCAGCCCGCCCAGCAAGCCGCCCGTCGCATTTCGCTCTCGAGGGCGGGGCTGTTTTCACATGCTAAATGCAGGACCCATGCATTACCCTAGATTCCATCACCGCGAGGCAACGTGCTCGCATACCCTGCCAAGGAAGCACCATTTTTAAACAATCTTTGTCACGCTTGCCTGCCCATGCCCATCCTAGGCACACCTGTGGTGCGGCGCGTATTCCGGCTTTGCTGCTCCCACTCCCCACCGAGCCGTTGCTACGCTCCACGTTCGGAGACTCCTTCCCAGATTCCAGAGCCTTCCGAACCAGGATAGTACTGGCGCTCACGTCGCCCCTGGTCAAAGGGCGCGTTCGGCTGGCTTCAGCTAAAGGCGGGAGCCAGCTCCCCCCACTGTCCTCTTCCAAAATCCGCGTCGTGTCCCAAGATGAGCTGGTGCGAGGAGAGAGGCATGCGTGCATGAAGACGGCTGGCAGGAGCGTCTATTCCGTAGTTGCCCTAAGTACTTACTTGCGCACGCGCCTCCAGGAAAGCACCAAAGGCCCGCTTCGGCACGTAATATGCACCACACTTATGCGGTGTCTGGCTACCCTAGCTATGGGGATTATAACCGAGTCTACATCCTCCACCCTTGTCACCCATCCTTGTAAGCTGAAGCTCCGGTGCGCAGGCATGGCTGGCTGCAATCATGCCCATGCAAAAGTCTCATGTCCCATACAACACGCTGCAAAGCGGTTCTGGTTCGGACAGTGCAATCACTCGTGCAGTGGAAGCTGTCTGCACACGCAAAACCTGCACTAAACGCGTTTCTGAACCCTCACGAGCTTGGCGCAGCGACCCAAATCCGCACAGCGGCCGTGCTGTCAACCTGTCGAACTTCCGCCTTCCGCGCACGTTTTGACGGCGCCAACTGGAGGTTAAGCTTCCACGCACTCATTCGCAGCGCATCCTGTACGCCGCCCTTCAAGATACGCCTTACACCCTGCCCACGCTGCCCCAGCTGCTACTCCACGCGAAGCATTAACATACTCCTTGTCTCACTCCCACTGGGCGCATCAAGGAATGGCAGGAAGCCATGTACCCATCTTAGGTTTGTCCTCGACAATACCCCCTCAACCCACCGCTTGCCAGTTGCCCCACTGGCAGAACCCGCACGTCCAGCCACGTGAAACGCCGCTGCGGCATGGATGGCAGTGAAGATACCGGTGTCTGATCGTCGCCCCGTTCCGACTCCGGCTCCGGCTCCGGCTGCGGTTCCTGTTCCGGCCATGCTGGTGCGCATGGTACTCGGCCGCGCAGGGGACTCGGCCCGAAGGGGCCCAGATATTGAATTAGCTGCAAGCGGGCAGAGGAACGTAACATTGCGGCTAGAACATCTTGCAGAGCCGTGCATGCACCCTTGGAAACCACAGCACATCGGATCGAAGTGGTGCGCCTGTCCGCCGTGTGCCTGCCGTCATGCGAGCTATGTTGCAAGCTTTGATCAGACCCGAAGTGCGTGAACAGCGGTAACGGCTATAGCCCTAGCAGCGGCAAAAGAGCAGCTCAGGCCCAACGGCTGTGGTCCTGGTCATGCATCTGGGTAAGGTTACGATGGTTATGTCATGTGAAACCTGCACGTCGAGAACTGCATGTGATCACGCACCTGGCCTGGAGCGAACAGGTGAGGATGTAGGTGACAAATCTGCCGGTGAATTCAAGGACTGTACTGGTGCAGCTGCGGAAGCTGTGAAAGGAGTGCTGCAGAAGAGCTTAAGCAAGAACGGGTGAACCGCTCGCTCTCGTAAGCCCGGCTGGGCGGGAGGCCCCATCTGCAGCCATGCGAACCAAACAGGGCAGCGCAACCGTTGCCGTTCGACATGTCATCCGGGTCAGACCTTTGGAAGCCCCACAGTCCGCATCCACTCTGCTAAGCAAGGCGATAGGATAATATACGTAAGCACATATTACCGCAAGGGTCCAGGCCTGAGCGACAGGCCACCCGTCCAACGAACCGAGTTGCTGGTGATTCCCTTTGCACGTTTCCTAGGGACCGGGCGCTCAGCAAATTTGAGCGCGTAGAAACACTGGCCCTGTATACATACTAAATGTGCGCCCGAAACGCCTGCTCGTCACCACACTTAGGTGCCATCCACCAGGACATTGACCCTTAAGGCTCTTCTGCTCACCTTCTGGAACAATGGAAAAAAATTAAAGATGTCTTATAACATGCAAGCCGTCTGTATACAAGCCACGCGTTGTTTCAGGCCTAGCCCGGGTACGCTCCTTCCGTGTGATCCCCAAGCCTGGGCAACGTCAATCCTGGAAAAACTGTAAAAGGTACGCAATTTTTGTATGTGGCCTAGTTCACACCCACGACTCCATCCGTGGCCAAAGATGTAATTCTATCAGTCCCACAAAATCGAGAAAAGGAAATGGAATGTTATTTGTTTTGTGGGGTTATCTATATGTTAATGACTGTAACCGGTTCGCCCGTGTGTGCTGAACCAATGTTCGCTTCAGCTACGAGGCTAGAGAGTACGACTCCTCCCCCATTAGCACCCAAGGCCTACCTGGCCCAAAACGACCTAGTATCCCTCCATTGCGAGTATAAAAGCAGATATCATCCCACGTCGAAAAATATGCTGGTAGTCGCCGCTTTACGCTTTAAGACCTTCTTGCTTCTAGCGTAGTGCCTTTGTTTTACCTTGTCTAAATTCTTCATATATCCGAGATCAATAGCTTTTTGCTACTCATCATCGGCCCAGCAGATCGACTATCCCCAGGCTGAGGCTGGCTGCGCAGGCTGTTGATTCGTACGCCTCCAGGCTCAAATAACAGGAGCGATCAAGGACAGGACAGCAACGGTCTTGTTGCCTATATGAACTGCATTGTGTTCCAAGCGTCGATTTTCCGCCCTGCCGGGCCCAGATAGGCCCCGGCATCTCCTCGAGTTTCAACGGGGCAGACTACACGGGAAAACGGGCTAAGACCGGCCTTCTGCACTGTATTGGGGATCCACATCACGTGCAGCCCGTCCATCTAGCCAGCTATGACGGAATACCACACTGTTTACAAGGGCCCGGAAGGCGAGACAACGCAGTGGGAAGACATCCAGCGTCGGCTAGGTGAGGTTGGTCACAAGGAGAGCAGCGCGCCATGTGACACGCATCTCCTTCATGAATGGCGCCTTATTGCTCGTAAGATCGCTGCACAAGAAGTCCCGCGTGCATTCATCAGCGGGGCCTGGGAGATAGCGGGGCCCGGGTACGTTTTATCCATACAGGCAGGCGCGTGTGCCCTGCAAACCGACCTCTTTGAACCTCCTGATTTCAAGGCCAGTTCCGTGCTTTTTTGAATGACAGGCAACATCCCTCCGAAACCGCCTGTCTGGAAGCCTGACCCGTACAAACCGGAGGTGGAGGCAGTGCGGGACGTGGCCTGGGTGGAGCGGCGTGATGAGGCGGAGCTGCATGAGGCGGAGGACGTCTTTGAGGACGACCGCTTTCTGGAGGACTACAGGTGGATAGGAACAGAGCCCCGTGCCCCGGGGTTCGCACCTCCAGCCTGCTTTCTCCAAGGCCTGCCTACTCTGCCTCTCTTCTCCATCCTAGACTCTACTACCTGGTCTAGATCCTGTTGCTTGGTCATGGCCCCGGCGTGCCCCTGGCCCTGGTACGTATGCTAGAGCCTGGTCCTCCACCCGCCATTCTCCTCCTGCCACAGGCAGCAGCGAATCAAGGAACTCCAAGCTGCAGCAGCACGGCCACGGTTCGGCTCTGTGGAGCTCATTCGCGGCGGCGAGTTTGTTGAGAAGGTCACGAACGCGGGCCCGGATGTGTGGGTGGTGGTGCACCTCTTCAAAGACGGGTGAGGTTGCGAGCGCTCGGAGCGTGCGGCCAGCCGAGTCCCCGCCAGGGCTCACGGCAGGGTGGGGCTGTGAGAGCTTGCTGGGGAGCGGGTCGGCAGTCTGGCTACGGGTGCGGGCCGGGGATTGAAAATGTGACGCAAGTGACAAGATACTATGTGAATATCTTCTGAGGGGTGATTGCATTTCGAGGACTGCATTCGGCTTACTATCGACAAATTGGGCTGAGCTCCATGGTGGTGTCGTCTAGGTGTCTGGACGAGGTATTCAGGTGTATTCACGCGCGGGCAGCCCCTTCCCGCCTGAATAGGTCGCGTCGCCCCTCCACGCATAATAGTTCCGCTGGGTGCACCGCCATGTCATCTTTCGTTATATTAATCTGGGTTTCTCCTCGCCGTGTTGGCTGCTCACCACTGGAAAGTGATGTCATGCCATGTCAATCCTCGCACCAGGCACGCCGGCTGTGGGCTGCTGCAGCAGTGCCTAGACGAGCTTGCAGCCAAGTACCCCTCCACCAAGTTTGTGCGCATCGTCTCAACGGACGCCATACCCAAGTATCCGGATGCGAACCTGCCCACGCTGCTCCTGTACCATGACACGCAGTGCTTGAAGCACTCTGTCGGCCTGAATGTGTTTGGCGGGCCCAAGCGAATCACTCCGGAACAGGTGAGGGTGGGCGCGTACCTGCCTGCCTTACCTGCCTACCGGCCCGCCTGTTGGCATGTCGCCATGTGCGGTCTGCTTACTTATATGCCTGTCTGTTGCCTATATACCTGTTCGCTTGCTCGTTGGCCTGCTTGCTAATCACCTTTCTGTTGGCGGCATGTCCGCCGTCGCATTGGCACGGTTACACTTTTTACCCCCATTAGTCATCCTCGACGGACACCCTTGCTCCGCATTAGCACCTCGCCGTTACCGCCGCCTACCGTTTCCCGTCCTCTTACATCAATTTTTCCCGTCCACCCGCTCAACCTGCAGGTAGCGCTGGTGCTCAACTCCTGGGGTCCCGTGTGTGCGAGTCCCGAGGAAGATGAGGAGCAGGCGCAGAAGGCGCAGGTGTTTCGGGTTCGGGGCATGGTTGCGGGTCGAAAGTGGCGGCGGGGGGATGTGGGTTCCAGAGCCGCCAATCCAGTGATTGGCTATGTACTAGATGGGCAATGTGATAGGGGGAGGACGGGCAGGGATGCAGGGCCAGCTTCATAGGCCCCACGCAGGCGGCTTCAGTCGCAGCCGGGCCACCTAGCGAGTTGGACAGATGATTGCGGCAGGCGCGTTAGGAGTCTGTCATGGTGTTCACAGGCATCTTTTGTGCAGGCGGCTTGAGCAACTTAAACCCCGCCGTCTTGCCGGTGGCCCTAACTACTCACTCTTATTGCAGATCAAAGCGATGGTGGCTCGCATGGTGGACAACAAGGTGGACGGCGGAGACGACCAAGATGAAAGCTCGGATTTTGACGACTGATGATTGACCCCATGAGGATGGTTGTGGGGGAGGTTTCTCCCAGCTGAGCTGCGTTGTGATTCATTCAGCTCGCAAGTTCGCAGTGTATCATACTGGAAAATAGGGCGCAGCATATGCACTCGTAAGTGCTGCCGCAGGGGTTGGCTTCGTTGCTGTTTGCCATCGAGCTTTGTGTTTCTGCACCGTTGCATTGGGAAGAACCGCAAGTGGTAGCGGCAAATGATGAAGTGTTTTGCCCGGTCGGGTAGCTCGGTAAGGCGGAATGGGGCGTGGGTGCTGTCCTTCCTCGGCTACATGAGGGAACGAGGTCTATACACAGATCGGACATGCAGGAGTCCGTTCTTTTAGCGGTATAGCGGTTAGGGGCGTAAAGGGCATTTGGATTTCCTGAAGGATTAAATTCATGCCATTTTCTGCCTGCCTGATGAGGCTTTTATAACCAAGTATGCCGGCGTCATGATGAAGACAGATTTGATTGCACCGTACATTGGACAGTCCAGCAAGATGTGCTTTGCATCTTCAATATGGCTATCAGTGCCGCAGCAGGGGCACACCCGCTCCTCCCTAGGTACACAACGACGTATCTTGCGCGCTCTGTTAGCCGCCAATGCCCAACAGCAAAGCCTAAACTGCATAAGCTCACAAACTCCCTGAACGCGGGGTAAATGTTGTGATGTGCGGGAGCACCTCCTTCCTGCCCGCTTGCTCAGCCGCCAGACCTATCCAATGTTTTAAATTTCACCTTGTTGATTCCCGGTTGCTTACCGTCTGACGGGTACATGTCTGGCTAGACATCTAGACGCGTATGCTTCCAACCGCTCATCAACCAATCCTTGAACTCCGATACCATATCTTCAGGCATTAGCTATATCATTAGCCATTTCGCTCCTTCATCTGCCTCACGTATCCCTTGCGGGGCCTCTTTCCATATGGCATGCCTCAGAAAACTCAGAAAATGGAGGATGAGTGACCCCCATCCGCCCCCTTCGGGGTCTGAGAGAGCCTCTACGATCTCCCATCGCAAACCTTACCCACGATGTAAACGGACCCTGTTCCAAAACCTCACAATCCGCTTGACAACGTGGTAGTGTAGGGGTAGCCGTGACAATTTAGTGAACGGGAGGCGGTGTGCTGGTCTGGCAGCTCCCACAATTTGCCGCATGAACGGAGCTGCACCGCTCCATCCTTCAGACATGCCTCAAAGGCCCCCTCCGCAAGGTTACTCGCATCAGTCCGCCTCCTGAGCCTGTCCAAGACTGTAGCAAAGATAAACGGGCCCCACACTTGACACCCGTACAACAGTATTGCTCGTACCTGCGTATCAAAACTCCTCATCCTCACATCTGGGGCAAACAACTTTAGCTTAACCAATTACGTACTCAGCACTAACATAGCTGCCCTGGCTGTGTCTTACAATTGCTGGTGGCAGGCACGAAATGGTCGTTCTGGCCCACACCCTAAACCCAGATATCGCGTGTTTTCCTTAGCCGGTACGGCCCCATCAGCAAGCCTGAGCTCATTACACGATGCTTGAACAGCACTCCTTGTGTCGCTGTCGCTCGCAAAAACGAGGCGTTTACATTTCGACACATTTGGCCGCAACCCAAAATCATTACGGAACATGTCCACGATTTAGAGCAGCTCCGCCATGCACTCCGGTGTCGTTGCCAGGAGACTAACGTCATCAGCATAGGGGCGGATGGACACTCGCTCATTGCCAACCTTAGGTGCATCCTCCGGCCATGCCCTGGTGCTAACACCGCCATTCATATTAATGGCGTCTGTAAACGTTTCAAACAGCGGATAGCCTTGTTTCACACCCTGCTTTGACTCAAATTTGCCCCCAGTCTTGCCATTCGTCTTGATGACCGTTGTAACCTTGTCGCACGCCCGCATCAGCAACTGCAGCATGGACCCTTGCTGGGCCGCGTCACTGGGCAGTAGTGGTCGCCCCGAAAACCGACATGTCCCTCGCCACGTTGGTCTGTCTTGCTTTTCCAAAGGATGATCTCTGGACCCACGCCTGGTGTGATGCGCAACAGGTTGTAATGTACTAGCACCCGGCGAGGTCATCAAACCGCAGGAATACGAACCAGCACAACAGAGCACACATGACATGCATGCGGGTCTGCAAGTCAGGTTCAGGGCCGTTAAGGGGAAAATGGAAGTCGACCAATTGCCTGATATCCACCTCAGTAATGACCATCGTAGACCGCAAAGTAATCACACCAGAACTGCAATTCTTTAGCGACTCCGACAGACAGGGGTCGGCGGTGGTTGTAGGACCAGACCTTGACTTCTTCTGCGACCCAGCCGCTCAAGTACCGCGCCATAAGCACCGAAAGTTCGCCGAACGAGTGTGACATGGATAGAAGGGTGCCAGCAAGTGCTGCAACATCGTGCACCCGGTGGGGAGTACCTCTGTACACCTTGAGAGTTGTGCTGATCGTCTTCTGTACCGCGAGGCGCTTCCCTTCAGGTACGAAAAGGGAGCCTTTGACAGTGTCAACTACGGCGCCTAGGTACTCCTTCTATTGCGCCAGTTCTAGCGAGCACCTCTGGTCACTAGCCAAGAATCCCGCGTTCTCCAAGTCGGCGAGGACTCGTGTTTGCTACAGCATTAGGGCACCCTTATCCTGGTGTGCATGTATGCTATCGTCGATGTAGCAGGAGCAATGGTGTCCTTCAGATCGCCATAGCTGCTGCAGCTCGCGAGTGACTTTGGTGAAAACGCAACAAGCTGGTGCGAGCCCAAACGGCAACTGCACAAACAGATAAACATGCCCTTGCCACGCGAAGCCCACGCGAAGCATGTCGATGTGGTGATATCCAGACTTATGATCCCCAGTGAACAAATAGTCGTTAGGTTGCAGCACTTCACCGAGCGTCCCCAGGGACTCATACTTAAAGCTCGGCATCACAAGATGCTTGTTAATGCAACATGCATCATATATTGGACGGAATTTACTAGTGCCCTTTTTAAGCACAACACCGAGGGGCAATACACAGCATGATTGGTGGTCGACACGTTGCACGGCAGGGTGGTACAGGACCTTCCTGAAATGGTCGGGTTGCCGGTTTTCCCCTTCCCATGCCCGTCGGGCCCACCCGATAGCGTTTTTGCATATCTTTCAATTTCTGTCGGGTGCCCCGATAGCCCATCCCAAAACCTGTTGGGTGACGCAAGAAAGAAATTTCGCTGTGTGCCGCTTGAAATTACATTAATTCGTATTTTATATGCGCAGTTTCCAGTTCTCAGTTTGCAGTTCACAGTTCTGATATGCACGAACACACACACACACACACACACACACACACACACACACACACACAGCAACACATGCACGCCTGCACGTCTGCCTGTGAGCATCACAACCCGAGCTCTTCAAGGAGACCCTTAGACACCGTAGGACGGGAGAGGAACATCTCCTCGTCCTCCTCTACAGGACGAGGCAGCAAACGTTCGAAAGGGTAATGTAAAGCTGCATATGGTCTTTGTATTAACTTGTCAATAAGGTCGAGATAAGGTAGTGTGCCCTTCACTTATGTATCCAAGCACGGATCCCTGTACAGCAGAGTCAAAGGATAAAGAAGAAGAGGCAACAAAGTGAACGAATGCTACCACTACATTACATATTTCCATCCAGTTATATTTGTATGAATGCCATTATGTATCGCTCTAGCTGTCCGTCGCTGGAGGGCCAACCGACGACCCACCGCGGTCCTAGCACCCCTAACCCTGTCGGGTCCCCCGACGGGAGCCCTCCGGGCCCCGTCGGGGGCTCCCGATGGCGGCTTGGTGTTTTCCCCCTTTTTCGTCGGGTCCGCCCGATAGCATTTTCCAAAGCCTGTCGGGATTTTCAGCACAAGTGCCAATCCTGTCGGGACCCGATTGGACTGTACCACCCTGTTTTGCACGGCCCCAGTTGTGACTAATTCGGTGATTGCAGATGTCACAAATTCCGCCTGCTGTTGAGCCGATGGATGATTCAGCTGCAAGATGGCTGCAGGAGTGTCCCGGGACCACAGTAGGGGGAAACCGAACAGGATCCATGCCATGACCAAATCGGACCGTGTGAATGTCTTCCAGAAGGTTGTGTTGGCTTTTAGCTGGCCCCTCATTCACTGTGCTTGGTAAGACCTAGGTTGTTCCAAGTTCGCCAACCCTTCGAATTTTGCTGTAAGCTCGTCAAGGCCCTCCATACCTGTGATGTCCTGGGTGCATCCCAGTTCTGTTGTATCCACTTCCACTGTTTAGGTGGTAGTGAAAACTACCGATTAGTGAATGGAGGGAGGCTAAATGCCTCTGCGTTAGGACGACCCGTACAGAAGTCTGTACGATCCGAGGATATAGTCGTCAACGCGAATTATCACCAATCGGTGCAATCGTAACCCAAGTGGGTCTACCAGTGACAAGTGTCACGATTATAGCAAGAGCGCTATAACCCAGTATCACGCGTGATAAAGACAGGCAAGTGCCCGATTAGAGATGGGCCAGCGCCCAGTTAGAGATAGCCCAGTGCCCAATGGTTAACCAAGTAAGAGCGAAGATATTGCCCAGCGGCAAGGTGCCAGAGAATTGGGGAAAAGTCCGAGGGTAAATATGCAAGTATGCCACAACAACTCAGCCCCCGTTCAAGAGGGCGCGCGTGGACTCCGGCCCTCGTCTAGCTGCGGCTGTTGCGGGGACCTCCCGGCAGCCGGGACGCGGAAGCGTTCCTGGGCGAAGAGT